GTTGACATTGTACAATGGGAGTAACTAGCTTCTGTTTATTAGTCTTGGCGTTAATGTTACTTTTCTCATCATCTACAGTTGTTGATAGTATATATCAGCTGTGGTCAACAAGGTAGGACTTATGAAGCTATAGTGAATGGTAACGGCATTATATCGCCGAACATACACTATAAGTTTTTGCAGCTGTGCATTTGTATGAAAATAATATCCCATCAGTTCGTTTGTACCTATCTATTTATGTAACGGTTTATCGCAATTATCAAAGAGATAAATTATTCCTTACGAACCACAACTCAGTGCACTTGCACAATTCACTGTTGTAACTGAAGACAAAGCAAACGTCTATACATTTCTCTTTTTGATGCACGCTTCACGTGGCACCATTTATCAGTTTTTTTCAATTTTTTGACCGAAGCATAATACTCTAACATACACCAAGTTGTGTAACCTACACTAAATGCGTCTCAAAAACAAGAAAAGATCATGAAATGTCACACCGTTTTCAAGTAGCATCATCTTGACATATGAGATTTCTATTTGGCACGCTTTATGATAAATTATTTCGTAGTTGCTATTAAGACTTTGATTTGACTCAAATTATAGCGCGCTAAAGATTTGCATAAATTAATACATGTCGCTGACGCTTTGCTTTGAATGAATAGTTTGAATTGTGGCCACATAAAAGCAGTGCAAAAACGCCTCGTTTATATAGCTATAGGCTAGTTATGATCATATCTCATAAACTGTCTTAATATTCGCTTAGCGTTTGACAATTAAGATTTTTTTTATGCTTGGTCTGTGGTACTGGAATATCGACCAGGGCCATTTAAGACGTGCAATCCCCAACCAAAATGCAAGGTTTTTTAGAGTAGATTTTTTAGGTAATTTTCCGCGATCAAACATGAAGTGAATAGGGGGATAAAAGTTGTCTTTACTACAAATAAATTATACCTAAACTGTCACAAATCTGGAATCCGATATAATTTGCCAGTTGTCTTTTTTTGAGTCCTAAAAACAATGTGGCAGACAACGTTAGAGCAACCTTCTGTCACAATTCGTGAGAATAGCATTTGTTTCCGATATACAATTGTGATCTTAAAACTATTGTTCATATGTCCTCGTGGCATAAGTAAAATAAAAAGTTGCAATTTCCTTGATACAGTTGAGTTATCGTATATTGTATTATACTCATTTTTCTTTTTCTACGAGTTCAGTAGACGATTGCTGAGGCGTCGGAAGTCAGTCAAAACTGTTTTCTTTAACAATAGTGTTTGGTGCAAATTTCCTGCATTTACTTTATCTATAAATAACAGCACTCTAATACTATCTTTGTGTATACAAGTGTAGTAATGACGGAAATGTAAATTAGATATATGTCATGCTGTGTAGACTGGTAGCACATTCTAGGGTTTACTATACAATCTATTTGCGTTTGTGCTTGATATGGTTGTGTTTTCCGAAAATAGGAATTGGAATCGTGTAAATGTATTTAGTATTTCCATTACGCACCAGGGAGGATGCAACGTACAGCCTTAATGTTCTGTCCTTCATTTTTACTTGCTAATGGGCTACGAATATTTGTGTTCATAAATCAAGAAACAATGACTTTCTGCTTTAGTTACGTTTATGTTTAAAGCCCCATGGTACTCTATCTTAACAGTCATTACGCCAAATAGAAAAACATGTCGTTGTCCTTTGCAAACTGATAAGTTAGTAGTAATATGTAACTTAGATTATCTTTCATCGTACATACAAAAGTCCTTAGCATCATTCTTACATTATAACCATTAGTTTGTTCGAAACTTTTTTTAGGGTTGGAAATTCTGAATAACTATACATCAGTGCAGCGAAAAATTTAGTGAATATTTACATCGAGTCTTTAGCCGTCTACGATAGATATGAACTGATTAGCTAATCGAGTATAATCAAAAATAATTAGTTTAGGGATAAATATATCGTTTAATGCTGAAAATTTGCGTTCGGTAATCAAGTTCCTATTTCTCGAAAGTAAGGGTAGAATTCATTGCTGATAGAATTCATCACAGATTAGTGAAATTATGGATAAGAAGGCCTTCTGTCAAACAAAGAATAAGAAGCTTGTTACTCGTTTGGTCTTTTTAAGAATAAAAATTAAATTGTTGAAGACTACAAAGGTGGTGGCTTTAAACCGGGCACACGAGTTATCGTGATCACGAAAGCCTTCGAGTGTGTACAAAGTATGGACAATGCGCTAGTTGTCGGTTCAGTACGGCGTTCCTCGTGGTACGTGTTATGAAAACCAGCGTCTGTGTTACGAAAGCACTGACAACGAAAAAAGGTAATAATATACTCTCATTCATGGACGAAGACCAAAACAGATGGAAACAGGTGTCAGTTACTTTAACGACAATTTTCGCAACTATTACCACCAAGAAAAGCCGCCTAGAGCGCATCATCACCATAGACAAGACATGGGTCAATGTGTCGCCACTTATCAAAAAATGACTAACTAAAAGAATGGCGTCAAACAGGAGAGAAAGCGATGGTTGTGCTGAATGGATTCGGGCATAAACTAATGCTTATACTCAGAATCGGTATTACCTGTGTTTATTTCCATGATACACTACTTGAAAAGGAAATTGTTAACGTTATCAGACACCTTGAATTTTCGAGGAATACTGCGGATGGGTACGCGGCAAGCGACGGTATACAGAATGACCTAGTTACTATACTGCAACCACGGCTCAAAATTGCAGAAAGCAGAAGCTAGCTATGGTTTCAGTCCCCAAAGTCTTCATATTGAAGCCCATAAAATTTCGACTGCCATCATCTCTTGAAGAAAATATCTAGCATAATATATTTTTCCGAGGTTTTTCTCAAGCAAACATTCGATAGAAAGGCAATAAATATAATAAAATATTCTAATTAAAATATCTTTGTTGATAACTCAGGGATTTTACTTTTGTGATTGAATTTGAGATAATAGCGTCCTATGATCATTTGACCTAAGAGGATGTCCAGAAGGGTGGCGGCGATGAAAATCATTAGTGTGGTTCATTATGAATGTGCATGTTGAGTTGTACATCGGACAAGTGATTTAGAGCGTACTTAATTATAGAACTGTAAGAATTTGATGCTCATTGAAAAGTCTTGTGTGCGAACACACCCTAATATTTCAAAGAATGTTCAAATATGATTATATATAAGTACTCAAAATATTTTTGTCCTAAACCAAATTAGCGTATATGAGTGTCGGTTCATTAAGGGAATAAACACCTAGCTTAGAGACCAAACGTGCAAGCATAGTATTTTGGGTACAATTTAAGAAAATCGCTAGCTTAGTTTAATCATTGGTATGATAGTGCGGACTATAATTATGTACGTGTTATGAAGTTTGAAGAACACTGGCTTCAATGTGTTCTCCTTTAAAAGAAGTAAATCTAATACATATTAAAATATCGTTTTTCTACCTTAGATTAAGAGTCGTTCGAGATTTCTGAGAGGGTAAATAGCCCCAGTCAGCCAGATACATCAACAAAAAACAATAAGCGATTATCTATATTTTCATCCATTTTTAGATTCATAGTCCTAGCTGTAACTGATTAACATAACCCGGCTTTTCACAAGTTTGAATCAAATCATACATGTTATGCACATGACGTGCCACTGTGTTTTTAGGATTGTAGTTTGTTTCGCTGTAACGTGTCCAAAGAGGCCGGCCTCTCGCCACGCGTAGGCTATGATTAATTTGTATTGACCTAATACGAATATTTAGGTTATCTGCTAGGCTAAACTTGTATACTGGGATTTCATCTGGTACTAATAACATGATTTGATTAAGGACCAGACATCTATATACAAAAATGTAGTACATGTTTCATAGATTCTTTTCAGATTTTAAAATGAGGAGATTAATGAATTTACATGGAAAGGGTGGTAGGGGGCTGTTAATCCGACTGGGTCTACTATTATGTGCTGATATCTACATTTACTTCCAATGTCATTACCTGAGGATAGCTTTGTCTTTACACATTGCGTTCTTTTACCTCATTATAAGCACATACTTATGTGTAAAGCGGTATATATGGTTGAGTTCTTCATAAGGGTGCATCAACGGGAGGTGTATGGCAAGTCTAATATTGAATCCAAGCATCAAAGGGCTGTGGGGTAGTTGCGCAAAGGTGTTTTAAGGCTTGGATGATACGATAGTTAAAGTTTTCTGGGACACGTTTTGTTGCTTACTCAAGTCTAGGATATACATGAATTACTAGTAATAGGCAATACTTAATCCGTTGCATAGGGCAGAACGAAAATATCAAATACATTTCCATAGTTTACTTATTTTTGTTCAGTTAAAATAATGCGTTTAAAAAATGGCAATGATTCTTGTGCGCGCAGTACTTTGTATACTAGTATACATTCTAAACCATTTCCCATGGCGAGTATTCCAGCTGTGAGTATTATTAATTAGAATGTAGGACGTGGGATCGAGGTATATACAGATCGTATGTTGTTCAAATTTTTGCTCGATACTTAGTGGTATGCAACTCGGAAAATCCGGAATTTCTCTAAAAATTAAATAGGCAGGCAACGCCAAAAGAGAAAAGGAGCATGATTTATATACTGTTACACCTCGCGCCCACTCAAATATTACGAAGTATTGATATTCTTTTTGCAGGCATTGGAAGATGGATTTTGTTACTCACTTCTTTATATCATTTTGCATCTATTTCATTCATAAGCTGAGTGAACTCTTATCTAAACGAAACTTGATTTTACAAATCTTATTTACGTTTTTAAAAAGAGACAAATTACTTCAACAACACGAACAAGAGGACCAGATTTCAAGAGGACATCTACAATCAGATCTTCAATATTATAATACTAATAACAATAGCAATTGTAATACCGTTATAATGTAATATAAATCTATTTATATATCTATTTAAACTTATATAAAAGTTTTATAAAAATGTATGGAGTACTTGAAAATTAATAACAATAATGACGATTTCTTTCAGGTGAATGGTGGTGGAATATCCCCAGGGAGATTGTTTAGCCATCTTTGTGAGGAATTGTAGGGCGCAGCTGTACTACAAACATCAATTCATCCTGATCAGAGCACATCAGCAGATAAGGCGACTGGAGAAAGATGGTCTGTGGGGGTGGGGCCGGGCTCGACGGTGGCGGAAGAGGCAGTGGTGGGTTTTTATTAAAGTTCCGTCCTCCACTAACTCTATCACAAAGGATTCTGAAGAGCGTCAAAGGCGACGGCGTTCCGCTGAACGGAACGACTTTTTTGTCGGCTGCTCTTATACTTTTGCCTGATTTTAACTCATTTCTGACAGAGCGTATGTTGCCGGCCACTAGCACGGTAACACTGATGTCTTCGATGATCTGTGGCAACGTGCATTACTGCAACAGTCTTGATGTTGCCAAGGTCGAATCCGAAGTACTGGTGACTATGTTGAATCACAGTAATAGCTGGGGCCTTAAAGTTGACACCGATTCGTCAAAAGTTTTTAAAAAAGACTACTGTAAAGACAAATTACTTCAACAACACGAACAAGAGGATCAGATTAACGGACATCTACAGTCAGATCCTCAATATTATTGCTTTCCTGTCAACACAACACAACAGGTTAGATTTTCTTAATTTCACCCTGTCATAAAATTTGCTCCACTTTGTAAGAACCTGAAAACCAACAGTCTGCGTGAAACGTTAACATATGGAAAATGTGTATAGAACGCCTCGAATAATATTAGATGATTGGTTTCTGTTTATTCACTTAGCGTAGTTAGTTAATTCCAATTAAATTAAAAGGGTTGTCCCATTATTTTGCCTGGTTTATATTTGCCCCAAATGGATTATTCACTTGAGCACGATATGCTTATATTTCAGCCCCTATATTGACAGCGGGGGTAGTGAGCAGACACATTATTCAAATTACACATAAATTCAGAGAAATATAATCGTAAGCATGGTTTGAACATATCTATTAATCTCACTATGCCGTGTTTCGAATTCGCAGTTTTTAAATTACGACTTTTTCTAGTTATTAGTTAGTTGAGTTGAGACGATGAGTTAACCTCATTATATTTGGTAAAGTTTTCATTTGTGTACCTATTTTGGTGTTTTTTTCCTGTTGTTTTGCTGAGAGATGTCCACATACACGTTATAGTTGCCTGATTGCAGTGGTAGAATAGTACTTCATGTATTAAAGTCGTGTCTCCCGTATGTGTTCTAAGGATACACATGATGCTTTTAAACTTCGATTTTACTCGATACGCAAATGCATCTATCTGACAAATTTATTCAGCTTTGTGTAAAGAAAACAGCCCTAACAATTCATCTTGTATAAAGAAAACCTATTTACTCTCAATTTACCTTAACCTGAGTAGTGAAGTCTTGGTTTTTTGCTAAAGTTATTTTTTGAGTGTCTGAGAATAAACGCTCCTAGTATTCTTCGAGTGAACGCTTATAGTTAGTAAAATAGCATCTTCATGCAGCTCTCTGTTGAAGAGTTTACTCTCTAAACCCTGCAGACTGAAAGCGTCTTAATGCTGCTTTTTTCTATAGAAAGCTATAGGCGTATACTAACCTCATCCTCGTAATACACTAAATTGGTCTTTGCTCCATTGTGCCTCAGCTTTCTAAAATGATATTTTAGTGGGATCCAACTCTTTACCGTTAAGATTACATCATACAATGTAGTTACAATAAGTGAAACTACATTAGTCTTATGACTAATGTCCAAAGAAGTTTACAAACAGGGTTGTAACTGAATATTTAAGCTCCATTTTGTTATCTTCTCTATATTTGTTTTGAAAACATGGTGTAACCCTCCAGAAAAATAAAACATATTTTTTTCCTAGCAACATTCAAGCTAATCAAATAAATTAACCTAATTAGTTAACTAAACAAGCTTACTAATCGCAAAATGTTTACCCCTAAGTTATCTTTCATTCGTACCAATCAATAGTATAAGATCTAGCCTGTCAGAGTCACAAGTAACCACTTTGCGGTTTTTAAACGCATTTGACTCTTTCTCTTTTGACCGATCTCATAATCCACAGAAAATGGAAGAACTGTTAATCTTTTTGTAGACTACTGCTTTTCACATTCCTTTGCTGCACATAACTTGCACCGTTGTGATGTATTAGAGTGCACTACGTGTAAGTCTCCTTAAACAATTTTATATTGCTCGATCTGAAAACCTTGCTACTCTCGAAACACGATGACAGGAAAAAATTGTTATTATATTGGATCAGAATTACAATACTTCTTCCAATCAAAGATATCTAAAACCGATTTGCCAACCATGATAAAATCATCAGTCAAGCCATAGCACAAGCAAGTTCGACAAAAGCTATTAAGAATCATTATGCTGCACAATGCTTTTTTTTACTTTATTATAATTAGGTATTATTCGCCGACCATGTACCTGCACAGTTATACTAATTCTGTAATCCAGTGTTGATGTGGTTCTGTTTATCCTTTCATAGCAATCATCGTAAAAATTGTAAAAGGAAACTGCCTCTCATAAAAAAAATTGCATCTATAAAGTGTATATCGTAGACCCGAAGCCATGATATTATCTATACTAGCTTCACCATTTGCACAGCTTCAAAGATATATCTGATATGTGCGCTTACTGATTACGGTAAACAGGTGTTCTAGAAAAAGTCTTTAAAATCTCTAGCTGTATATTTACTTCAAATACATTATTATTACATTTTACTACAAAAAAAAATTATATCATCTATGCTTCCAAAACTTGCAGTACAGATACAGTGTACAGTAAATAATATGCTTCCTTATTTTTTCATTAATTGTACCTAATAATCTGATAACAGAGATCAGTCTGCAGCTTAGCCGTTAGAAGCAATTATCTATTTTTACACAGATGTTATCGGTGTGAGAAGAGAGGAAACGTCATGAGCTCATCATTATAATGATATTTCGCAATCGATAAGAGTAAAAACAAGTGAGAAGGTGTCTATCGCAGGTATTACTTGAGCGATTTTGGTGGGATCTATGTACATTTTTCAGCCAAAAGCTAATCTTAGATGTTAAAGTAACCCTCGATTTGGCTAAGCAAATACTAATGTTTCATGCGTCCCGCTCATTTGAGGTTATATAAAAAATAAGAAATAAGTGTGACATTTGTAACTTTGAATATATAGTGTCTACGTGTAGGTTTCAAGTTGTTATTCCTACGCTGATCACAAGGAGTTTATAATGTAGGATAATACTGCGATAACTTCTATCAAATACTTACTTGTTTGTAGGGAGATCCATCTGTTGCTCCCGGGGTTTAAAAGCTGTGAAGACTGTGCGACCGTGAGGTTTGTCGATCGATGTCTTCCACACACAAGTGGGGTTCTTACACTCATTTGCACTAGAAGCACGCTTGTTCCCCGCCCTTTCATGTCAAAGGTGACTCTCAGCGTTCGTCTCGATCATCGACGTAAAAGCAAATTATACCGTTAACCATTGAATAATACCATCCGTTTCGACGTTAATCATTACAGGGAAGATTCTTTTCCTGAGATAATCGTTGACCAAGTGATTGATCGAAGCAAATAAAATAGATTTTCCAAAACCGCTATCTATTATTTACCTCGCCTACTTTGTTATTGATGTATACACAGAAGGTCAAAATAATATCAACATAACTACCCATCTCAGTAACTGTCTCTTGCAAGATATGCTACCTAAAATTAAGTATTTTACAATCATTTCTTCAATCAAAATAAACGTAAAATTATATAGTGTAATTTTTTAGACGATTTAGGAGTACCTGTAAACCGCGATGTTATATAGTACTCTGCTCACAGAATTTAAAAAATGGAAAGATCTATAATGGCAGATTATTGAGAATGGATGTCGTTTAATCAAAGCTTTTTCGTTGTCACTTTTATTCTATAGCGAATCAATCGCTTAGCTAAGGGCATTTAGACCCACCATACCTATTGCAGGAGTAGCATATTGGCTTTCAAATTTTAGAGTTATTTAGGTTTAGGGCATAGGGTTTTTTGTGTCGTACTAGGAGCCAGCCATCTGTTGGAATATCTAACGACGATACCAGACGTAAAACTTGAAACATAAAGGTTCTTCATACTTATAAGATGCACGACGTGCCTGGGCATCGATCTTGGCTTTGTCGTTTTATGTTTCCCAATATTTATGCGTATCGGGGATAATTTTGCTATAAGCTGTTCAACGTACTTTAGGCGTAAGCAGCATTCGTCTCTTTTGTGATGTGTGAAAATTTCTGCTATCGTTATGCAAACTATAAATCACACTAAAAATGTACTTATGTTTAGACCTAACTTCATCCGCGTATTTCGTATTAATGCTACATTACGGCAAAGCAGACTTAAATGACACGTTCAATTTCTCGGTGTTTGTTGATTGCCCTTATTAAGAAGCGAGTATTATCTACACCAACTTGCATAGCAAACTAACACTGACTATGTGTGCCAAATGATCGTCTAATTATGCCGTTTTTGAGAAGAAGCGGCCTTGTTGTTTCATGGAGGCCAGACCATACAGTCTGCTTACGTTACGTAAATTCCGTAAAGAACAAGGAGAGAAAGGTGAGACGGACGTTTCTGCAACCATGTTTACTTATATGTTGTTCAAAATCGACTGAGAGCTTACGACTCCTCTGAGTCATTTAGGTTGAACTAGCTCTTATAGTGTGGTTCGGCTTCCAGAATAATACTGTAGCAACGTATAGCTAATATATTGTGGGGTGAAAGGGGTGATCTGTCTTTACAGATATAAATATATCAACCAACCTAAATTCAAAGCTAAGCTCTGGTTGGGTAAATGCGTTTCGCATTTTTCAGTTCCATAGTTCGTTGACTATGGAATTCTTTAGAAAATACGTCGTTCTTAACCCTTAGCAATTCACTTCAGCTGTATAATGTATTGAAATAGCGTAAAATATCATGTTTATGGCAAGTAAACGCTTTGCTTTTAGTATATAAGAATAAATAACAATAAATATATTCCATCGTTTATTCACCGCTTATGAGTAACCTTATATAAACCAATATTAAGTATGTAAATCAGTACGCAAAGATGCATATATATGAGAGATGATTAATTTAATTTAGAGTAATGTATAACTCCTTATTTAGCTAAAAGATTTAGATTCCATCTAAATCTTTTAGGTAAAAGGTTACGTGATATTTCATCAGGCGAGAATATAGGATGTAAGAGGAATCTTAAACGCATAAATAATTAGACTATTATTTCGCAATAAATGTATTTTAAGAAGTCTCAACTTTGTTGTAACAAGAACTTTTATATTTGGAGGGCATACTTTATGCAATCTTATTTTTAGAAATTCGTAGTAGGGCAACTAGTGCTTCGTTTTCGAAGGTTATATTTGGACACACGATGATTTAGTGAGATAGCAAATAAACAAATACATTGTGAATATTTACTATTTGTTCTTCATAAACTTGTATTACATCTTACCATAAGCGAAGTTACCAGCAGAGCTAGCGGTAGCGTCAAATTTGATTTAAAAAAGAATTTACCATTACCAAAAATATTAAGTTGACCATTGGTGTTGTACGGCAGGATGCGTGGGTGGCGTCGACCAGCTTCCAAAGAGCCAGGTTAAAAACCTTCACATTACATACATATATATATGCATATATATTTTTTTTGTTTGGCGTCAACCTTGTTACCGCATTAGATGCAAAAAAGGAACTAGTAAAAATACATAGAAAGCAAAAAATGTGATCATCGAGCATCTCCAGCAATGTTTCAGTTCTGCTAAGTAATCTATACATTTGGACATGTATCACACTAAGATAAATCCTGTGGAATCTAAAGTGGAAAGGTGAGTGTTCAAGTTTTCGGGAACCACCTTAGACAAGCCGCCGCGGTCTTCTCGTGGTAAATACCATTGAACGTTTTTGGATTTACTGTGAGCAATCAATTCCTGCAATAATAGATGCTCCAAAGGCGTAGCAATAAAGCAGCAACGGAGTAGTTAAAGTCCAAAATTGTACACTAGAATTATCGAAAATATGGCGTATATATATGGTGAGAACTATAGTATTGTTCTGCAAATATTGTTCGTGTTATCCGTTCTACATTATGCTTTATGCAGTAGACAGTTTTGAGTTTTTCGTTATCTGGACTTATGGCGGCTTCCAAATGGATAGGTTTTTGGGGCCGCAAGAATCACCAGGATCTGAGCGTGCACCACGGCATTGAAGTTCCATTTGGTTCTTGTATTAGAAGTATATGACTCTGGCTTATTTCTAGAACCTTTTCCAAGAATTCAGCAAAACGGTTGTTGAGGTATTGCAATGAGGAAAAATAGAGATTGGGAATAAGTAGACATAACCTGTGTCATCCGATTTTTTGTTTACGTGCTTCTTTGAAAGAGCAAATTGAACGACAAGCCTGAATCTATCAAGTTCTGCTGTAGCAGCGAAACTAAGACGTTTACAAGATGTTTCACTTGAAAATTCTGCTGTGAAAATCTTGCTAATTCCAAGTGTAAAGCTCCCAAAAAAATACAGATGATAATATTTTTTGAAGCATCATCAATTTATCATCAACGCTCTCATACCGAGCTCCTTTTTTAAACTTCCAAATGTAGAGTAAATATTTAAAGCTAATAAGAGTTATATTTAATAACATGCTGTAGTAGATAAAGACGAACAGTACGAGACGTACCTAAACCGATAAAATAAGCTATAAAAAAGAAGGCATGTAGTTTTTTTCGACTACACTGGCCGCGAAGAATATTCCTTTTGAGTTGTGTTTAAAAAAATAGATCATGAAAATGAATGCAAAGTAAAAAACTTTGGAGTTTAATAGTGCCAATTTACAAGATCGTTTCAAAGGCACAGTACGTGTCAAAATATTTGAGCTTATTTTCAAGTGAGTGAAACTGAGATAGACGCTCAGTTTCCAATAAATATACTTATCGGATACAGATAATCGTTATTACATTATATGCGCCAGTTTGAACTCTATCACTCGTAGTAAATTAGGATCAGTAATTTCCGTGTGACAAAATTAGATGCGTCTTATTTACAGAAAACGTTAGATGTAAAACCTGATGCCCCCTACGTGACTAACCCCGTATCCTTCAGATTTCCTTACAATTTGAGGTTTTCGATTTAACTAAAATGAACAAGAAGGTTTCTTACGGTCAGCTCGCATATAATGAGCGCTTTTATTAAGCGCTATAGTGATTATAGAAGGGTGCCAAGTAACGAAAATATTTTCGCTTACAGTCATGATGAAGTGCAAAAAACCTCTGAAAATAGATAATTGGGATGGCTACGTTACATATCCTGTGTAGCCTTGTTACAAATAACCTTAAAAGTAAATTGCATAATAAATACCCCCCAGACAAATTCGGGTTTGCTTGCTAAGTGACGCCACATTCTGTAATTTTCGATTATAGCAACTTGGCTATGCAGAAGTTCATGACAGCGTCTTTCACAATAAGGATGTGTACAAACCGTCTTACTTATATTTCTATGATGCTACCTTTGTTCATCGCATTCAAACAAAAACGATATCTGACATATCATCCATTATAGAATGAAAATGGTTCTTAATAGTATTTAATAGCATTTTTACTGATAGTATCTTTAAGGTAACATGTCATTGTGATATTTTTCCGAAATACTCAGACGCCGTTAAATGCGGTTATGGGGGGGGGGGGGTCATGCTGTGAGTAGCGCAGTGATAATGAAAATAGTTTAAGTTTGATAACATGATCTTGTATAGTTATTAGAAGAAGTAATAAAGAAATTAACTGTGGGTTTCCAGGAGTACTATACATCTTTTTTGTCTTAACCTCTTATTAAAAAAAAACGAAGTCGAAATATAATACTCTGGATACCGATGGTGTAAATATTGCCCTGAGTTGTCCGCTCGTTGGACCTAAGGTAGTCAATGTCAGAGGTTTTTCGCAACAACCATATTGGTTAAGGCGGTAAAAGCGAGATAGTACCAAGTACTCTGACCTACGGTAAATTCATGCCCATAGTCCAGTGAGCCAGCTATTTGGTGCTTCATTTACCAGCGCGCCGTCAGGCACCACCACTGCCGCCATCGCTATTGGTGGCTCTCGTTATTTTTGCTGCTGTTAAATTTGCAACGGTCAATTGGCACAAACTTAATCTAGACTGCGATAACCTCCCCGCTGCTACTATTACCTTGTTCCTGCTCCTACAATAACGCTGTCTTTATGATGACTCTCAGAGACAACCGTACGTTCATAGGCTAACTTAAGCTCGCAATGAGCAGCGGAAGTCTTATTCCTCTCACAAAAGGGGTTTCATAATGGCGGCACTGGACGATTTTATGGAGCAATGGTTTCGAACGTAAACCCCCTAAAAAACGAAAATAAAACGCACCTTAGTATCTTACCGTATTCGATATAATTTTTCAATTTTTTAGTCTTGTTTAGTAATTACCAGGTTTATTGAGCACCTACAGTCAATACAGCACATATATTACATAAGTGGGTCTTTGCATTTTGCTAATGTATGACCTGAACCCTGCTACAGTTAAAGGATTAGGCATTCATAAAAATAAATATGAGTTGCATTGCACATATTAAAAGGTGAACAAGTTGCTGTCAATAAAAAAATGTTCAATCAATAAAAAACTTAGTATTGATTACACCTATATTGAGATTTATTATTCATATAATTCAATGTTTTTACTTCTGTGTTTTACTTTGTGATTTACTCACCAAATTACTTCTTATCTATTATACAAAAACACCTTATTTTTATATTTTTAGCGTCTTAGCTAATCTAAATTGGATTACATATGAGGATGTTCATGATGGCGAAAATTCGTTTTTGTTTCATGTAGCGAAAAATATTACCAACCAATATACATGTTTAGCGTTATTTTTCTCTTTGTAAAGGTATGATCCAGATGACTTACTTTGCAAATAAGATGTCGTCGTAGACATACATATTGTGAATGTATTCCCTTGAGCTTTTTTTAAATTCATATTGGTATCGTTTTCAGGTGGAGGAAACAGCCGTCGAAGATCCACCTGCGTTGTTTGAGGCTGCAAATGGTTTTTTTGAAAACCGCAATCATTCAATGATATCCATCGCCATACCCAAGTAAGCTCATAACCACGATTTCCCGCATATATAATCTCAATTATTATTTTATTTATATTTTCTATTTCAGATTTGCTGTTTATTTGTGACTAATTTGAAGTTCAACTTCGTAGCGATCTTTTACGATGTTTAAATATTACTCTAATGTATCGTAACGATTTTGGTGGTACTATATAGCCTTTTAATAGTGGCAACCATGCAGCTGCTTTCGATATACTAGTCATAAGTAAAGAGAGGTAATATTTTTTAGAAACCCACAAGAACAGTAAGTAAATAAATGGCTATATCTTACATTCAGGACAAAAAAACACCTGTTGGTTTATGTATTATTACGCATTTAGACAGTCGTTGAATGCACTTAGTATAGATAGGAACATAGATTTTTCTTGAATCTCTGTAACAAGAGACACGGTGCCCTAATACAGTAACGTAATTTTGATGTCTCTATGAAATGGAAGTGTTCCACATTACATTATAAGATATTCAACGGCACTTCACAGCTACTATAACATTAGGAAATAACGCATGAATTTTTTTTTGTTTCAATATAACTCATGGGCTTAAAAGCAAGTACTGAGATATAAGACTAAGAGTGTCGTCATATACGCGGATATCGCTTATAACTTTTGAAATGGCTTGTCATCAAAGAATTTCGAATAATTTTTGGGAAAAACAAATTGCTGACTTCGCCTACCGGGATCACGGATATAACTGTTAAATCCTCGCGGATATTCCTGTGTTGGTTAGTGATTGACTACTTGATGTGTTCAATCTCAATTTGCTTTACGCCGCCATAATTAGATTCTGATGACTGTAAAAATTATTAATATATACGCAGCTATATTGGCCGACTCAAGATTATTACGTTCGATATCGAGAGGCATCCGCTGTTAGAGCTAGATTAAATAGGACTACTATTATTTAGATTGCATAATAGTAATATAACATCAAGACTCAAAGTAGGAACAACACTTTTTTAACGCTCTTTGTTCTGGGCGTTTCCGTTGCAACCGCCTGTTCTTTTTACTTTTAGCTTTTGCTTTCTCTCAATTTTTTCGTTCCGACACCGCAAGATTTGTGACGACGCAAAGGCCGTTCCAAACGAGGCCAACAAGGACAAGGTCATAAAGCACCACTTGCCGTCAACACTAGTACAACCACCGATGCTAATGCTGCAGTGGTGGCGTAGTCAGATTTCCGCAGCTGAATAATGTCGTTTCTGCCTATCTCCATTGTGACTGCGGCGATGTGATTGCTCTTGTTATAGCCGTTGACTGTGCTATGTTGGCAGCTATAGAACAGCTTGGGGATATCATCATAACAATATGTGGTTGTAACCGTTATTACAATCTCTATGATAACCATACGACACGCAGCACATTTCCAGCTTGCAGTGCAGACTAAACACCTTATATTTGCGACAGGGTAGGCTTTTGGCTTGTACAGCAATATTTTTTTCTAGTGTTAATCAAATACTACTATTAGAAGTACGTTGTTAACCGGGGAAAATGGGCAAGGAACTATTTTCTCAAGCTGACATAATACGTTGGGATGATACATGGATTTATCACCATCTTTTCGAAAAAGTAAATTTTCATATACAGGCAAACATGCTTAAAGGGTACGCTGAGACATGCAAACTCGCCTGTTTTCAAATCGGCCACAGGCGTATTAGTTGGTCATTGTTGTGACGTACAAACAATTAAGTAGTTTATGATATGACAGATGAAAGAATTGAAAACTCGGCACCACATCACATGGTTTAACAGTCCAATATCTTGCATGTTCTAGAGCATCTTATAATTTATATATGAGAGAGTGGGGCTATGTATTTCCTCTAACCAGGGAATGTTGATTTGAAATTCTGGTACTATTCAAGTTTCCGAATCTTCAAATGTGCATGTGTAAGAAGACTTTTGCAATTTGCGTTACTAGATTTCTTTCTTTTGACAAGCTCCAACTAAGTTTTCTTTTTCGCATTTCATTGAACTATTGCTGGAACATAAAAAAGTAAAATAATCACCTTGTTCTTCTGTTACGGTTTTGCTTATCCCAAATCTACATTTTCAATGCTAAACTAAAAGCAAGTTGCGTTTTATAAAGGTTATTAAGGTTTATTATGTTACATTATTTCTATGGTGATTACATGGGTCAGTGTTATTTCGAGTTTAGTTAAAATAAAATGACATCAATTGCTTATAGAGACAAGTTAATTGTCTCTGAGTAAAACTCAGCGTAGTGGGCACATGTATATATGTATGTGTCGCACTAAACTAATGTATCGTATCTTCGTGCTTATATTTCACTTCTGAGGCTATTTTTGAAAGAAATTGTGGTGTCAATACTTATTAAAGAGCACCATTGAAGAGAAATATCATTGTCGATAGACTTTAAGCGTTTATTCTGTTTATCAGCGGTAGATTATAAACACGGGATGATCACTCAAGATTCTCAATCCGTTAAGGGTTCAATTATCATGCCTTCTACAGGCGTGCTTGTTACTTTGAGTCAACTCGACGAATTTATTCAACAGCTTAGTGAAACAATCATAATAGCGTATTGTCGAGACTATTCAAAGTTGCCGATAAATGTATCAAAATTCTTAGCTGTCATATTTTTGAGTATACCAATGAATGATTCCTAAATTACCTGGACCCTGTGTCCTGTTTATCAGCTGGATCATTTAAAACAAGCTGCTGTGGTACTTCTTATTATTATTGTCTACGCAGAGGCGATCAGAATCACACCCTCTTGCTTTGTTTTGTAAAATTTGCGACACTAGCTAGCCGCTAATAGATTCAAAATCTCAAATGCAATGCGTAAATATAATTGGAATGGGAGAGATGGAACTAATGGAAATAGAGTGTAGCTCGTTTTGCAAGCAATTGCGGCTATTGCAGATAGAGGCCTTTCCGTAAGAGAGGTACATTGTGAATTTGGGATGAGCAAGACCACATTGAAATGCAGCTTAAGACTGTGGAGGAAGTTGCAACTACTGGTATTCTAAGCCAGCTTTTTAAACCTCCGTCTATTCGAGTCGCCTGTTTAATGCGTGTAAAAATATTATATAAATAACATTGCTTGCCCAGTGCTGTATTACGCTCAAGATCAATTGCGTATGAATTTGCTAAGGAATTGAACAAACGTATTAAACGGTTTCGCGATCATCGAAGGGGTGAAGATTTGATGATGACGTGATCAGCTTTTCTTGCGGCAACCCAAAGATATGTTTTTTGAATACGCAGCAAGTTCTAATAAGAAAACAATCAAGGTCTTCTTCAAAAATCATAAAACGTTGGTTGAGTTATACGATTTCACTTCTTCAAACATCTTTAACCTAGATGAAGCGTTCCTTTATACGGCAGGGGACGCTTCAAAAGTAAATGCGCCCAGAAAAACGAAACTAGTTACTCAAATGACACCACAAAGACGCAGAATTTTTGTTTCAATGGTCGTTTTCGTATACAGAAGTGGAACAAAAATTCCGCGGTGTTTTGGAGGTAATCCTAGGACGTACTTCAAGGAACATATGTTGGTGGGTCAACCCGTTAGAAGCCAATGTTTTGCAAACTCATCCGGATGAATTACAAAGGAAATATTTGAAAACTGTATTAAGTTCTTCATCGCCATCATTCGCTGTCCCCTAGAGAAATCATGCTAAATGTGGATAAACATGAGACCTATATAGGCTTAAGTACGCTTAAGTCGGCGTTGGAGAGCGGCGTCTACATCGTTACATTTATACAGACTGCTTAAACAGACTACAGTCTTTAGACGTTGTCATTCAAAGCTACACTTTGAATGCTCAATAGAACTTTTTCACTACTTCCGATAAAAGGATCACAACCTATAGCTTAGTTGGATTGGCAAAAGGTGCCTACAATGAATGATTTATGATGGCAAATATCGCTAGAGAGTTTCAAAGACAGGCACCTTTTAGTTAAAAGAAAACATATCCACAGGAGATGATTTTTCCCATTTAGTAATACAGGCTGGTAATCAACTGGCGCCATCGGACCATCAAAGGAATTTTCTTCCAGCAGGGCAGCCAAGTTCTCTTTGGAAATGTGGGCTTCTTTACGGGCAGCTTTGTTACCGAATCGTCACCCTAAAGGCAGAGCCCGTAGATTATCCGTTATTCTTACAGAACAATTTTAGCAGCTTCATATTTTAAAGTATGGGCTCGTTTGCTTCTGCTGTCCGATAAAATAAGTTACATGCATTTATGCTCTCTAGGTTGATGTACTGTTAATTTGTAATTGAGCATTTTTTGCTTTACGAAGACAATTACATATTCGGGGAACAAAAATTATAGAAGCGGTATCTGCTCGCTCCAGCTACTCCAATTGACCACTGCATACAGAATTATTAATGACTCATATAGCCTCCCCTCGACATAGGTGTCTTCAATTGACTATTTCTCCAAAAACTAACGATTTCCTGGATCTAACTTTAGAATATGACAAAGAGGAGTCCTTGGCGGAATTTTTTTTCTTCTCTCGTAGCAGCATTTTTCTCAATGGTAGCGTTTAGTAAATTTTGGCCGGTGTAATACATACAGTAAAATCTATTCTCGCTTAAGCCATGCTGTTTTCTGCTATTACGATCTTTTCTTTAAACAACGGTTAAGAATTTCGGAAAATATTCAGCCTTCCACCTTTTTTACTTGCTGGGTTTCTAGTGCGGTCTACTATTTACATCGAATTGTAAAAATTAAGATAAGTTTCACGTTGAAACAATGGAGGTACTGCAAAGGGTAACGGATCAAAGAAGTACAGTGACGGCTTAATTATAAGAGGAGCAGGCGATAATTGACAGGGAAATGGTATAACTATCAAGGTCTTAAGACAACTTGAGCACAACGGTGGAATGTTTGAATTGCGGTAATTACATAATCGATGCAAAGTAATGGGATTGCTGAAACTATTTACTCTACTAACAACAACTCTACTAACAACCTGTGCTACAACAGGACAATGAGAAAACATAGGAAGAAAATGACTAAAACGATGTACTAAGCTTACTGGAACGGAGCCAGAGAGGAACTGGATAACGACGACTACAGTAGGACATGACTTCAACGAAGTTATAGGAATAGTTAGGTATAGAACAGAATGATAACAGAATAATTGCAGTTAGTTTGTCTTTAGGGAAAACCAAGTCTGAACTTGAGTTAGGTCAGAAGGGTAAAGTAGCTATATAGGAAGCGTAGGGTAGTAATCCGTAGTAGATGTGTAGTTTGGACCATATGTGAGTAAAGAATGAATGGTACGAAAAATGTGAGTACATGAAGCCTGAGTGTTCACTGCGAAAGGTTGAAGAATTTTTTTGCGGTCCCAACATATATGCGTGTGTATGTGTATGTTTCAATGTGCTCTGTAGATTTGTTTCAAGGATTCTTTTAATGAAAGAGCCAAAACCTTATCGAACACTTAACATGGGGCAATTTACGATGAAAGATAGCAAACTGCATTTATGCAAGCTTTGTGCGTGTGTTGAGTGTGTCCCGTTAACAAAATATGCTGTAGAGTTTCATGTGGTTTGTATTAAGCGCCCTGTGCGCGGATAATACTGTTTTGTTTCACCAGGATGAAAACTTCACATACATTCTGCTCGCTGTTCTTGAAGCTATGAAAAAGTATATATATATACTACAGGTACATATGTAAAAAGCAACTGAGTTGAGATATCATGGAATGTTTTATCAACGTTTAGCACTTGACTACCCTTGTGCGCCCAGAACGTATTTATACGAAGACCAAAAAAGGTCATTCAGCATGTAATAAAACCAAATATAATACAATATATTAACCTATTATATCTGCGATGGATTATTCCCAACTCATATACTACCAACAAATTTATTTGAGTTACTACTAGGTTTTGTTATAACATGTGTATATTTTATGACACGTGCATTTTAAAAAACGCTGACACTATTCTTTAGAAATCCGCACGAAGATCGCGGCACAGTTTACATAGGAAGTGCAATAAAAGGAATTGCTAAGAGAAGAATTTTATTGCTGAACAATCTGTAGAAAAAAATCTACTTCAGGAAGGATAACGTGAAATGAGAATACGCTCTGAAATAAAAATTCGCTTATTTTGCGTCATAATTTTTTAATGTGTAGAGCACACCTTCAATACTACGCTGAAAGAAAAACTGTGGCTTCCTTATGATTAAAACAATTTATTTAGAAGTTAATTCTTTTTCGTCTGCACTAACAACAAAGCTAATATATGTAATAATAATTTGTGTATGAATTTTCTTAGATTAATACGAATGTGCTTTTTCTATTTTCTAGGGTTGAGGAGACCAGTCCACGGGGCTACGTAGTGAGCTCTACTTCGGCATCGGATTTGGCACCAAAACTTGCGCGTCATCTAGAAAGCCTCAGTGAAGCAAAATTAAATGCGACCATCACGCCTGTAGCAACAACGGTATCTTTAAATGATGTGAAGGCAGGAGAAACTGTCCTTCATACAGTCAATAGCAATGTAAGAAAATTCATATTCCATTGCGGTGAGGGGGAGTGTGGTTTCAGCTCTGGCCACCGTGATCGCTTCGTTATCCACCTGCGATGTTTACACCACTTGAGAGTAGACGAGAAGGTTCTAGATTTTAATAATTGGGCCGCATTTATTGCCTGGAAGGAATATCTGGAAAAAGAGACATATGCGAGTTTCGTCAAGGTAAGCCCTTTCCGTGTAACGGTTAAAATTTGTTTGACAGTTCCTAAATGTTTATAAAATCATTTAATGTAAATAGCTTATGTTATTAAAATTAATTAAAGACGAAGATAATTTTACCTTATGACAGCATTACACCATCCAACTAGATTAAAAAAATATTTAAAAATATTTTCAGAGACGCACGCCACGTCTGTTAGCACTTGGAAATTCAATAAGAAGAATAAACCTGATTTGATAAACATTCTAATGTACGAGCTTTACATTACGAATGTTTTCATAATGGGGACAATTGCACTGAAATAAGCATGGCATAACTATGCGTGACTATAATAAAAACTAACAGGTTCGCGTAGCTTACTATGCTTGATGGGGCGCATCGGTAGCACAGGTTTTTATTTCCGATTGAAAATGCCGAGTACTTGCAGAGGTTTGTGAACAAACGACTTTCTCTCGAAAATATAATGATCGAACCAATGAGAACACTTACGCATTTTTTCCTTATATTAAAAGGGTGCACGGCGATGTTATGACTTACGTCCTATCGATTAAGCGCAACAAATTTACCGACACGTGCTCAGATCGCTTTGGGTATACTATAGACGACGGAATCGCGGCAGTCACATCAACCCAGGCGTAGTAGAACCAAAAGCATGTCCAAGCTAGCTATGCAGGGTTCCCATTAAATTCAAAAGCAACAACGACAACAGGCGATGCACGGTCTACATTCGCCGACGTATATACCAAGACTCCAAAACGGCCGCATTTCCCATCATAACTATCGCGTTCAAAAAAATCGCAACTAGGCAGTGTGAATATTTGTGCGAGATACAACGAGTGCACATAAAGCAATGTTTATGTGTGCTACTTCGAGTATAAGAGAGCAATATACCTCGCCTGTAAGTCTAGCGATGAAACTGATCCGACAATCTATTCAGCAGGAAAATGGCGTTGTAATGAATGTTCAGCACCAGCATCAAACTGGTCAACCGAACAGTTTATAAAATGTTTGGAGGTATGTACGCTGGAGAATGAATCAATGGTGTAACATTCTTATTCCATCGAGTAATGGAATTGGAACAGTAAGTGTTAATCTAACAGCGAAATAGAAGCATGCAGCACTTGTAAGTGGCTGACAGCGCAATGCGAGACATCCCGGAAAAACCGGAACCTGACTTTTCCTCCGCTACGAAAAACAATGCGAACGCTGAGCATTAGCGTTGTACGGCCCTTCAGCCCCCTGTTAAGAAAGATTGTTTTTAAAGAGACGTCTGTGACTATTCGGGTGCCGATAGGCATCGTGTCAAGCTTAAAAGTATATTAACAGCACGGATGGGCTAGTTGTGGTGTTTTTCCAAACTGGTAATCATCAGTGCATGAAATTCCAAAAATAAAACAAATATACCAGCAAGGTGGAAAATCTTTCATAGATGTTAGTCACCTAGAGACCCGAGTTAGACGTGCATGTTGTCTTCATTTCCCTCTCTGGCCAAAATTCAAGGCGGCAAATAATATTATTACGAGAAAATTTTCGGTTCTTACGCTCTCCATATCATAGCCCTCGGTCATCGGAAGTGGACAGTACGGCTATGAATGTGAGATGGCCGAGTTAGCCTACAACATTGCCAGAAAGATAACACTTTTTTTAGTCGTCAGAATTCCGATAATCGAGAGGGGCAGGAGCCAGGTGATATCCGCCCAACGGTCGATGAGAACAACATGGGGGGGAACCAGTACACCCAGCCAGCTTAACTGGATTCACAGAGGCGAAGGTCTCAGTGGCCAGGTCAACTTCAAGAGGACGCATCACCGCCAGCAGAAACCACCATGAAAGGACCGTCGATGTAAAAAGGCATCATTAAGCCTAGTAGATGGATTACGGTCAACAGGTTTTACCGGCTTTAACGGTCGAGGACATCATGAAGCATGTTTTAACAGCATTGACGACTGGAGGGTCGGCTCCAATACGGAACACCTTGAACCATCACAACCGCTCCAGGCCGACCTTCGAGCCTGCACCGAACCGGGACCTTGAGAAGACGCTAAGAATTACACAGTGGAACTGTGAGGGACTGCAATACTCGCGTGTGTCTCCCTGGAAGCCTTGGGCTTGAAGTTAATGGAGACTTGGGCAACTATTCTGTGCACTACGCTGTAATAAAGAGCAACAGACCATGCCGCCAAAGTCTCCGTTTTCTATGATGGTAAGATAGGCGACCTCACGCCGTGCTTAGTAGAGAACAACGTTATTGCCTTACGTGGGCAGCGATTAAACCTCGTAGCAGCCTAGCCGGCTGATTCAGACTCAACGAACATACGGGTGAAGAAATTTATCAGTGAACTGAAAGCGCTGTTTTCTTATTCTGCTTACCCTCTGATCTTTCCTGGTGATTTTAACGCATGACTCGACCAGCAGAAATCGAAGTGCACTATCCCTTTAGACACGCTCGCGGGCTTCGGTTACTAAGTAGTTAATTCCACCTAGCCTTTCTAAGACAAACAGGAAGGTCGGTTATCGATATGTTTGCGATGTACGTAATCAGGGATAGGGTAAAGTTTCAAGGTGAATGTCATGCTCTGTCAGAAAGCGTAAGTATTGGTATTCACGTACCCATGGCGATAGACCTCATTATGGAAGGTCCACCTGCAGGAACCGTCAAACGCCGACTTCCGTCGCAACCTTTAGATATAGACAGAGTCAAGGCACACACCTACGAAGTTCTCCCTGTACCTGAAGTAGTGAGTACCAAAGTTTTTACGCAGAATCTGGTTAAAACTTTCTCTCTATAGTATAGCCTTTTCGCTTCCCGGAAGCATAGGCCATGGGTCAACTATATTTACAGCCTTGCCTGGATGGCTTTCAGGCTTATGGCTGGGATATAGCCCAAGTTCCATCCTTGAGCTTCCGTTTTTAGCATGATCTCTTAAAAAACGTATGCATTACAAAGATAACAATACCCTGAACGGCTGGAGACCCGTTTGATCGACAATGCAAAACGTCTGCAATATAAGTGGCTCGCGCATCATGGCAGGTTGATTGGCTCTTCCGGCCTCGTAAACCATTCAAAACCTAAATAGTATCACCACATTTGATGAGATTTGCAACTGGCACTATTTTTAGAAGATAGGGTCAAAAGGTGGAGATAGAGATACTAAGGGAAGGAAGAATGGCAACTCAAAGCGCTACCGACTAAAGCGAAGTGGCTGAATTGCAGTACTGCTTCAACGGCCTGAAGATGGGTGGCTGAATACACGATTCCTAAAAGCCAATTGTGACGGGTGCTCAAGAGTTGCACGTAAGGCATGAAATTGCACGGCAAAAAATAAGGGCTTTATATGCAAAGCCGAAAACCTTATCGTCTACACAATAGCCTGTCCAGTATATCGACACTATGCTTAAACCGAAAGAAAACTGCTAAAAATAATTAAATGAAAAAAAATGTAATAAAAATGAGCTAAAATAGTAGGTAAAATGCTTTAGAAGAATTTCAACGCCAATACCAAGAGGCATTCGAATTCCTAGAAACAATATATTGCGATGAAAGGTCAGTTTAAGCCTGGTCTTAGAGCTAAAAACAACCAGATTTACAACAACGGGCTGGCCAACTGATGATGAAAAAGATGTGCCATTTGCTGTCACTGTAAAAAAAAACTATTGTTGGAAGGACTGGGAAAGCTTTTGTTAAACTTTGGTGGCAGCCGTACGACTGTATAGCTAATACACACATTTGAAATCTAGCGGTAAAAAACTTCCAAGTTTTTTGGCGGTCTAGGAAAGAATCTGAATGAAAGCGACAAAGCTGCAATCGCATAGGATTTCAATGCAGTTTTACCGACTGGAGAAGCAGCCTCACCCTGAGGACTAATTCTTGAATAGCCGGGCAGAAGAGACTTTTAGTTAATCTATGACAGACATAAACTCATCTACTATAGAAGCGGACAAGAAGCCGGCATATACCCGACAATCCATGCAGACCAATTAAAAAATGGAGATGATAGGATGCCACAGATAAGCTGGAGAACCTCAACGATCACAGAACTTTAATTTGTGAGGTTGAGTTTAAATAAAGTTTTTCCCTTTTCGAAAATACTGAAGGACGTGATCACGAGGGGCACATCTTATGAATAATAATTAAGTAATAATTAAAAGTATTTGTAGACAAAAGAAGTCACTGAAAAACCAAGGCAGATACTTGTAACAGAAACAAAGACACTTGAACCTGGGCTAGACGGAAATTTTCAATTGAGCAACTTAATGAATCCCAAGAAACTAAAACTAACCTGCGCAAGGAAATCAAATATACCAAAAAGAAAAAATGCGTTCAAGACGTGAAAGGTGGTGCATGGAATCAGAAGATAATCTGACGAGGTGGAGCGCCCCCCAAAGTCCAAATCGACTGACCAGAGAAAGTCTAATAATGCTTTTAAGGCAACAAGGAGGAGAGGAAAAGGCCTAAAATAGTGCTATGTTTATCATGGAGGAGGTTTAGGCAGAGTAGAGAATAGCGCTGAGGAAAGCAGTTGGGGCGAATAGTATTTACCAGAAAGCATTTGTTAACCATCTACTCAGAAACCTAAACTTCTGCGATAGTGTTTGTATCCGAAACTAAAAAGACAATAGACTTGTACTCAGTTTCTATGAGTACTAGCATGTTGTCTCTTTATTTTTTTTCTTTACTGTGACCCTTCAGTACAATGGATAGGCACGTGAGGTCCTGATCACGAAAGAGCCATCTAGTTAAATTAAGAAGAAGAGAGAGCTTGCAAGTAACCGGTATGGGTTAAAAGATACCTAAGAGTCGATTTACTTATTCCCCCATAGACTGGGTTTTGAGGTACCCCCAAAGAAAACATAAAAAGCTTTGAAAGCTAGCAATCTTCGTTAGTTAAGGTATTTCTTACAATTTTTGTATGTAAAAGATAACTACTGTTAACTCGACGAACTGAGATATGATTTTGTATACGCCGGAGGCGAAAGAGACATATCCATATCTGCGATGTATTATCGACATCTAAGTCACGGAAATATACGAGCTGGAAATTGTAGGAAGGAATAGAGTAACGGCGAAAGCGTCAGAGAGCTCTGTCCTGAAATCAATACTTCTCAATCTTGCTTACGACGAAGTAGTCGGACTGCCTATGCCGGAAGAAGTGAGTACAGCAGCCTACGCAAGCGATCTGGCAGTAGTCATCACTGCCCGGATGGAGACGGAAAAAGAGAGCAAAACAAACACAGTCCGGGCAATGTGGTAAACTAAATGATAAGACACCGGATTAAATAATAATATCGATCTAGAAGGATACATAGTCCAAGCTAAGCCGGTGACTCTCAACCAGCTAATGAGAATCTAATTGGAACTCCACATAGCAAATGGTGAAAAAAGCAGCACAAAGAGGGATGCCGAGATTCAGAAAATTAGGTGAGAGAAAAAATAGGCTAACTCGATGACGGACTCATTGCTTTCTAAAAAAATAAAGAGTTTCGAATTATTTCGACCCCTGCCGCCATTGTCGTAAGTATGACACTACAATGAGACATTACGGGTGCTTAACATAAACGGTCGAAATCAGACGCTTACCCTAGAGAAGGCTATCAATAACACCCTTGAAAAGTTGCCACAGAAGTGAGAAAGAAGAACAAAATCGCGGCACAGAATCTAAATTCCTTTATTAAATCAAAGAATGGTGCAGCAGGGGCTTTGGAAAAGTAACCGCCTGACCTGGGCCTTCGTTGAACACGGATGTTCCAAGGCATAGTTTTATCGAGTAGAAAAGACGGCAAGTGACTTGCGAATCACTCGCATTGCAGCAATGTCATAGGCATGTCGCAGTGATGACCATAGTTTTTATTATTGTTAAAAAATTATATACATTAAAAAAGACTTTAGCTTTACATTTTAATTCTATATATAATAATTAACCCAGTGTGTGCATTATCGTGTTTTTATAAAGATATAGACAGGCTTTTATCATAAAGAGCCGAATAAGGAAAAAAATTCTTTTATAGTCGTTGCGTCCGTTGAAGACATTGGTGAAATAATAAAACCAATTATTTTACAAGGTGAGAAAATATACTGAAGATTATGTGACTTTTTTGAATAAATGTTTCACAGTAACATTAAAATAAATTCAATTTCAGCCACATCCATCGTATCGTGTGCAATATTATCAGCATCAAAATCTCGAATCGCAGTTTTTCCATTGCGCCTGGCTTGAACGTTCCAAGCAGCTGCACGACTCATCAAAGTAGGGAAACAAATTTTCCATTTACTGTGGATTCAGTACACACTCAACTTAGCAACATACTTTATTACATGTTCAATTTCATTTAAGCGCGCGTTTTTGTAAATTTTTCGAACATAAATGTGTCTAACAAGTTTCAGTTTCATAGTGTGACTGCTTGTGAGATTCGCTGAAATTATAGGTCAATCTATTCTTTATCTGTGCTTGATTTTTGTTCATATCTTATTAAATATACAGTAGGTAATGCGAATGATCTCTGTTGACCTTTCTTAGTCTCATTAAATCTTTCAGATGGCGCCCATGTATTAGTCACTTAATAGCACGACGTAGTGTACATAAGGGTCGAGTGTCCGTCTATTGTGTTCTGTCCCACTATGGCCATCCTATCGGACCCGGTATTTATCCAGGACTCATCGACTTTCCTAAGGTACCATATTAATAAGCTTTCAATATTATGTATACTCAGAAACCACTTAACGTATTCGAAAATACCTGAAATGTTATGGTGTTATTAAACAACGTGCCTGACTGTAACAATATTTTTGACTAATTCTATGTTAATATCTGCCTTCAGCAACAAAGCTACACATGATGCCACGCATGATAATAATTACTATTACAATTTAAGCGGGGCATAAACGGCCTTCTTTGCTGAACAAAAAAATGTACACTAAATACAACAATCCATAAATGTCTTTTAGTTGTCCTAGTCTTCACTGAATAATAAATTTCACCATCGAATTACTTTTTTTTTCGTTAAATGCGTTAATAGTATCGTTTTTGCTTCTGAAGATATCCACAAGCAGAGCCTTATTATCAGCTTGTAGCAACGCAAAAAACAAGCAAAGTACTTAAGTGTCTTTCTGCGGTTCCTATTCCCCTTGTTCCGATTTAATTTGACAAATGCGTATTTTAGCTTTCATAATTATTGTCCTTTTAGGTGAGACGAAGCCGTTCTTTCACTGGTTCGACTCAGCAAGATGAAGTAAAATCAATTTCTTGTTCAACCATTGTAAAAGATGCAACTTTCTCACATCTAACTGCTGAAAGAGAACCCAGCCGGGAATATTCCATCTTTCGATTGAACCCTATTTTTAACGCAGACCTAGGAGAATATAACGCAACTTCACAAATGTCTTCAGCAACCGAAAACCAAGTCTATATACACACACTTCGTACCCCGTCTACTGTACAGAAGCAACGATATCGTCCAGAGGCGGCAAGTGGGCCATGTGTATTCGCAGGTCGAGCTAAGTTAAAGGAAACTGCAAAAGGTCTTAGTGGTATTAGGTAAGTACTGAAGGCTGATACTATCTGTAACGACCATATACCTCGGAAGTTGTCGCAATAACCCTAAAGGCGACTTGAAATACATTAGTAAGATGTAGCGTATTCATTTATGCAATACATTTGCAACGAATCAATCGTATCTATTATGCACCAGAGTTAGTAGATGTCCGCAGTGCAATAGTGACAATAATGACTACTATGATCATTCTCTACTGTGCTATAGTCATTCTATAAACCTCTAATAATGCTTATAATATAATATTATGACAATATAGAAATCACATCAAGGTATTACAAATGTGTTGAACACTCATGTACGATCTTTTTTTGCAATTATTTGCGTATTTATTGCAGATTTATCGGATGTGAAATTTTCAACTTCAAGAAAGCTTTTACCTCACTCTGTACCAATTAGATCGCTGAAAATAAAACGTGGCATAATGAATACTCATTTTTCAAACTTTTTTGTAGACAGAATTTTTGGTTTTCAGTCAGAATATGTTATGTAACAGCATTGCTATGTGCGACCTTTACCATTCGAATATTGACCTATGTACCCCGCTGCTGTAGATCTCTGACGTACAAGAGTCCATGAAGTTTGGACAGGCAACTTCAACATTATGTCAATCTTTGAATGATCTTCCTATTGTTGATGAAATAAATGATAGTTTTTCGCAGTGATGATTTGCAAGTATGGTGAATGATCGAAAATAGTCAACTTTAACTTACGCATCTGCTACCGTAGTCCTAACGGTTTGAGGCCGAGTGTTGTTGTGGAATAGAAGTAGGTTATTTCTGTTTTTGTCTCACTGATGAACACAGAGCTTATCATCATCTTCTCTTATTGGTGATTGTACACTTTGGGCGTAGTCGACAAATTAGAATTTATGAAGCTGTGGTAAATAATACCTGCACTGCTGTAATGTTAAAGGAAAGAAAAGCAGATTTATCAGCGTCTCAAATTTTGACCTTAATACAAATTATGCGGTACCCATAAAAAAATGTCGCAAACTATCGCACCGATATCAACTGGCGTCATCTGAAAATATGAAAATAATGTTTGTTACATTTCATAGCGAGTGACCTGATACACATCGAAAAAGTATTCACGGTTTTTAAGCCAAAATGAAAGGGAGCATTTTTTTTTCATTTTAAAACAATATTTCTGAGCTAAATGTGACTTTAATCAATAAGCTTCCTCCATTTCTCTGGTAACACCACAAGTTCATTAGTATATAGACGCAAACTTGTGACAAGTGGTTTTTGCCTACCTCTATTAAAACAAGATACCATTAAGGGTGTTTTGTAGAGATCGATAGATGAAAGTCCGACCAGGGTTATGCGGCGGATGCATTAAAATTTTTCATTTAAATTTTCTCAGTCTTCGCCGACTAGCTGAAGAAGTGTGTAATCTAACGTTGTCATGGTAAAAAGCTACATAGCTTTCTGCTTATTAACTTCGGTCAAATGTAGAGCACATTTTTTTCGGACGTTATAGTCGTATGTGTGTTTTGATTATCTATGATAAACCACTGTACAATTGGGTTGACTTCGTTGCGTTTCTCTAGGGTTTCGTAGATAAAAATACAGTCGAGTAAGTATTTTCGCGCTAATTCGTGTTGTACCCAAACATCGAGCTTCTTTTTATAGCCAGCTTTTTCCAAATGGCCTAAAAGTGCTCGATGGTGAATGTGGCTACTCTCGTTTCATTCAAGTCGAACAATCATTTCTTCAACTTTTTTCTTAATTGGTCGATTATTACGAGAAGTATGTTTCACGTCTAAATTTCTAAAGCGAAAGCGAAAGAACCATCGGTCGTTTTTTTAAAGCTACAGCTTGTTCATGAACAATATTATTCATGTGCCTTTATTATAATCAAACTGTAAAATACAGCCAATCTTTGCAAAAATTTCGTTTCTCTTTGAAGCGCGTTGGTTTAAGGTTGAATAAAGACATTCAAGCAAGGCATTGCTTATCTACTGTTGTCAAATCTTTTGACATTCACTCAGTAACCCACTTTATCTGGGACACGTAGAACCGTCTAATTAGATGGCTTTATGACTTAAACCTTGCCTTAATATATTTCTGCCCATAGTAGGATTTCAAATCGACGTTTTATTTGTTATTTTAATAATTGTGCAATTTCATTGCTTTCGCCTGCGAAAGCTCATGTGATAAATAGCTCCAGAATTATAGAGGTGATGCCACTTATTATACTTGAAAGAGGAACAAGCAGAAAGTGCTTTACGGTTCAAAGCTTATTGTCGTACTCAAGTCTCGTGCTAAAGTGGATTCAGTGGTCTTTATTCCAAAATTCTTAAGCCTATTAGAGTCTTCTTTCCAAAATCATCGTCCTAACTCACCGTCCCAAACCCGCTTCACTAATACTACGTTAACTATTCAATGTAGATAAGATATAAATGCTTTAATACAGAGAGGGTTTGCAAAAGAATTATATACAGAGTCAGCAAATCAAGTGATCACTGTTTGAAAAGAACTTTCAATACAGTGGACCTAGGCCCTGTGAGATATCTCCTTCGCAATCGCTCAGCTTTTTCGGTATCAGTGGGTATAGATTAATAATAATGTACGTATACATTAATCGTTATATAAATGTGCGGATAACAGAGCTAATAGATAGGTTAAATAGAGTATACCATCTCATTGGTTTACCAAATATTTGCTTAATTGTCTAAAACAGGGAATCAGATGTCGAAATTGACAGCGATTTTTCACTGGAAGGTTCGGAGGGTGAGGAAAACTGGGACAGCGTTGAGCGATTTAAAACGGTTCTACGTGTCATTCGTCGCGAGGGAAGAATTGTCCACGAAAGGATGCGGGTTTATGTTAGTAAAGTAAGTGTAAGTAAAGTAATTTTGGTTTGGCAAAATATTTTATTAAAGTAATAGGTTATGAATTACTGTGTTAATGGTTTGACCATGTACACCCATTAAGAATATTAATTTCTAGAACAAAAATGTAAGTGCAATCAAAGCGGTTTTACAAAATAACTAATGACGCTAACACTATTATTATACCCACATATTTTATATGCTAGAGCTGCGTCACGGTTTACCTTTTCTTTACCAAACGAACACTTGTCATGAAAAAAAAACTGTGATTTCTAGGATGATGATTCCTTTTTGTCCCATTCACGGCCGAGCCCGAAATCATCTGCGCGGAGGTCTTATTTTACGTGTATCGATTGTTCGATGGCTGGAACTCACCTAGCAACAACTAACCGTGCCGAGTTCATTAAACATCTTATTCGAACGCACTCCACTAGACCAGAAGAAAACATATATGTATTCCAAAACTTAGACAAATTCATCGCTTTTAAACTTCTCATGGAAAGCAAATATCGGGTAATTATTCAGATTAAAAATTTCAGACAGAAAATAAGGCTTGTTTTATATACAAATATGTAGATGTCAAATAGAAGTATGCAATAATACATGAGTAATTTTGGGGTATACTCTTTGTGCACTGAAAGCTTGCCTTGCTTTCTTATTATTGCGCAGTGTACATTTGTGCTACATCGAAAACGTTGCAACGAATTGGTGTTCGAGTGTTCACGTTCTGGACGTTACCGAGGGGAAAATGCAACATGTGGCTCCTGGACTAAAGCAACTGCCCAAAATCGAAAAGGTCAGACTCAAGAACCACGATCACGTTGTACCGCTCGTATGGTTGTCATCAAGTCTGGATCAGGTAGAACTGAAGCTGTCCAGGCCAATGGTAAGTATCATAAATATTATTGGTCCTGATATGTTTGGTTAGAAAAGAAAGGTGTGCGTTAGTAAATATAAAATATTTACATACATCTTACCTTTTATAGCTTACCATATACATATTTTGATTTGCTGTACTAGTACTGCGTACTTCGGTTTGGAACCAAAATTTAAGCGAGTTGTTGTTGTCGCTGCTTTTGATGCTATAAACTTGTTTTGTACAGTCTGCGTAACACATTATGGTCACAAGGAAGATGGAGATAGACTCAACTTATCTCGTCGTTTGGCTTTACGGGTGGCACAAATGGCTTGCAACAGTGCAAAATCTTCAGGAGAAATATTTCAGACGTTAGCGGGCGGCGCAGATTCGGGTGCACTCACGAGAGATGCCGTCAAGTCGGTGATTGGGTACGTGCGACGAAATGGGCGCCAGTTCGATTATCCCGCGTGGCAGAAAGAGCTGCTTGATGTTTATCGTACTGACTTCTCAAACAGAAGGGACTATTGTAATGGCGCAGTTTGTGAAATGGCTGAAGACAGAACTCTGACTAACGAGAAAAGTATACGTTTTACAAGAATCGGCTATAATGCGGCCAAAAAGACGACAGGTAATTTTACTAGGTAAAAAAGATTTGCTGCTTTATTTCTTGTATTAGATGTGCTTATTGCTTGGAGCGCAACCCATAAACTCTTCAAACGTATTCCTATTTTTAATGACTACACAAGAATAACTTTTTCAACTTCTACAATCCTCATATTGGATAATACATGATACGGAAATTATGCTAATTTTGGTAGCATTTTTTAATAATTGGGGATTTATTTTAAAAACACAAAGTGTGAATGGTTCGTTAAAAATATTCAAGCCATAGAAGTTCAGGTTCCGTCGTACGTTCGCCGCATAAGTTGAATTTTTGCACAAAGGAACTGCCTGAACAAGCTGTTTCCTCTATACTGACTAATTTGATATGCAAGCTAAGTGACCTAAATTTCAGCGACAAAAATGCCATAAGCATCTTAGTTTAAACTATTTTTAGCAATATCGCGCCAGTCCTATGAGCGATCGATAACCGCACAACTGCGGCGTTACCACTAAAATCTTATGGCGTTTTTGATCAACCTGAGCAGTTATCAGGATTTTTTTATGATATGATAAAACTGAACACATGTTTGTGCTCAGTAAAAATTAACTGACTGTAACGTGAAATACAGCTGTAATGTATAGACGATTGCGAGTTCATCTTCAAGATCAATATTCAGTTTAAATAATTGTTTTATTGATGTGTTGTACGGCATCAAGAAAGTATTTGCTTCTACCTTCTTTAGCACAGTAGTCTTCCTACTGGGAATACGTGGGGCTGATACGGGGAAAAACCAACTCCGGGGCTCTGAATATTATAGTGGTATATCACATTTTTATTGATAGTTGCAGAAAATTACCTGAAAACAATACTATTGAGTTACTTAGAAAAATGTGATTCCTGTATCTTTTTGATCTTTGTTTTGCTGATATTTTTGTTTTGCAGACTGGGACGAAGGGTTCTTACTAGATGGAGCTGCTCAGATTAGTTATCAACGTGTGCCAAGCTCTGACTTGCGATGTTATCGAGCGACACACATGGGGACTGGGAGCGTCCTTGAAGGCTATGATTCGATATTAAAAACTGACGAAGTTAATCAACTATCTACTTTGCCCTTCGAGAGAGAAAAACAAGACGCCTTTGAGTTTCAATCAAATGAAACAGCATCAACTGAACTTTTCAAAAGCCCATCCATAGCGGATTACGCCTTGACAGCCGTTGCGCCAACGACTCATGTCAGCTCTAACAAGTCATTCCTCGTAGACCACGAAAACCATCCAGAACTTAGCCTATTAGGGGGAAATGATAGCGATTGGGAAGGAAGCAGTGAAGGAAGCTGTGAAACTCTGAACGGCGTTGATGAACATGATATGACCCACGAAGCCGAGGAAGAACCGCATACTGTCATAAACCATTTTGATCAAAAACCTGTTTTTACCGGACCGCCGCTCCACATGGCTGCGAAAAGTCGAGCGGTTCGTTCGGTAAAAGGGAATGTAATTGTTATTAATGGACGCGGCGGTTTCGCCAACCGGCCAGAAGGATGTGTTCGATCAGTTAATGCAAGCCAGACGCTTCGCGAAGAACATGAGACAGCTGATATCTTACAAACTGACGACAGAGACAGCTCCGATGTCATAGCTCACGCGGAAGTCACCATCGAGAATTGCCGGGCTCCTATGGAAAAAGTGGCTTGCGAAGATCTCGTAGGTGATAAAATGACTGGTGTACTCATTGAAAATGAAGAGGTGGCATCTGACCTTTTAAGAGAAATTCTTGACGAGGGACGAGTAGTACTTATGGCTCGACAAGGTGCACCACACCCTTGCTCAAATACTTCCCATAGCAGCAAGTCAGTAACTGGATCGAACAACACAATAAGTAATTCGAATGGCACAAACGCTACAACGAACACTGCAACTACAACGACAAATAATAACAGCAGCAGCAACAATAGCAGCGGTAGTGAAACGAACAGAAATCAGGTCAGCCAAAGTGGGCAGGGAAATAGTAACAGAATATTAAGTGGTCAGAACAACGCAGAGAACGAATCATCTGCGGCACGAGGACAGGGTGGACAGGCGACGGCCACCGTGAAGGCAAAAGAGAAAACGGTCGCTGTAGGCAAGATAATTGAAGCTCGACTTAAAGATACGCTTCACTTAAGTGATCAAGAACAAGCTCTGAAACGAAGCATTGAGCAAGCGATATTTACGAATCCAGTGCGATATGAGCCGCCTAGGGTGGTACCTGCCCCAACACCGGCACCTACTAGCTTTCTCAATCGAAAAGGCTCGTCGAGTGAAGAGGAGAGCTCCGAAGGTGAGCAACCCGAGGTCGAACCACCGCCGCCTCCACCAAAGCCGTCTAAGGCCAACACTAAATTTGGAAAAGCACTTGCTTCAGCACAACGTCAACAACAGCAACAACAACAACAACCGAAGGGTCAGTTTGTGTCCATCGCTACGAAGAATAGTACTTCAGTGATCGCGGAAAAACGCAAGATAACGCCGTCACCCGGCCATCAGGAAGATGGACCACATAGCAAAGTAGCGACAGTCATAAAAAAGACTGAGATATTAACCGAAGCCCAAAGAGCGCATGAATATCGGGACCGGCTTATGGGTGTGCTGCATACCTCGGCTCTAATCAAGCCGGCGCCAGTTGCGACCACAACAAGCGTTGTAGTAAAGGCTCACAGTAGCGCTGTATCCGGTGCTAGTCTTTTGGCATCTGGGAATGTTTCCTCGCCTCTCAACGCAATAATGATACCTCGTCACGATCCCAAAGCACCCTCTCCAAGCGGCAGCACGCCACATGGCAAGAAGAAACTAGCGGTACAGGCAACTGATCGAAATAATCAGAGCAACAAGAGCAAGTAAAGCAGGTTTGACCAAGAAATAGGTTCTACATTATCAATACAAATGTTGGACCTTTTGAAATCATTCACAGCAACATTGCAAAACGTAGTACGTGCGAGTAGTAAAAATCATAGGGAATTTTTTTGAAGCAAGGCAGGGGCAACTGCATTACAAAGAGGTAATTTCCAAAAGAAAACAGCATTCTTTAATGATTAAAGAACATAATTCTGGGTAGACGTGAATACTAGAGTTAGGAGATGATTATTAATATGGTTGAACAAAAGAAGTATACGATACGGGTGGCATAACAGCAACCGAGTACTGAGTGTCGACGTATACATATTAATTGTAACGGAGCATTGTAACTATCAGAACTGTTAAAAGCTGAGCCCTTGCTCCATGTAAGCGAATCAGCGCGATATCACGATTGGAAAATAATTATTATGAGCGAAACAGCCAACATGAATGTGACTCAAATATGAACGTTACCTAAGTAGATATAGACATGTGTTTGTGTTTCGTCCATCAAATTTACAAAATCACAGTGTTCGATATATACATGCGGTGATTGTAATATCGTTTGGTGGGATAAAAGCAAACCTGTTAATTGAAGGAGAAAATCTCAACGATTAGTGAAGTTGAGCCCTATGCCGGTGGCTTGATGTCAGAGGTTTTGGAGTATCTTTGAATGCTATTAAGGTTGTGCTCCTTCGTAATCAGCAAGCTTAAACATATCATGCAAAATACATTGGTTGATCCTTCGGGCAATTGACACTAATAGAAACATATCCCTGCATTCAATGAGGTCTTGGGGCTCTACTTAAGCGACCTTGATACGAAAACACTATCAATGTGGAACTTCGGAGATCAGCGCATGTTTGTTAAAGGTATCAATCATTTCTAGATTAATTCCTTGTTAGTGTACTAGCTTAAATAAATGGAAAAACAAAAAGAGTTGGAAGTTTTGCGTTTCTCGTTTTTTTACGCCTTCTTGTGTGTATTATAGTGAAAAACCTTTGCTGGAAAGGAAGGCAGCGTGAATACCTGATACACTGAACTGTGAATAATAGTAATAATGATAACAGTAATAAATAACAATCGTTAATTCTTTCGTAGTCGATGAATTCAACGACAAAAGATAATTATCCTAGTTAAGAGAGTATTCATGATGCTGAAGATAATGATTTGTATGGACCGACATTTGTAAACCGTAACGAACGAGTTGCAGCAGGTGGGTGACTACGAGAAAATTTGTAATACTTAATAGAAGTAATATTATGAACCTTGACGTAACATGCGGATAAATATAAGGAAGAAGATAGAGAACTGACGTATCGTAGATTCGCAACATGTTTTAGCAAATGCTAGACCAAGAGGCGCCTTGAAATAGATCTGGACATTAGAGCTCTACAAATGAACAAGAGCACTCGGGACAGTTTAAGACACGATGTCTGTGAACGTGAAAAAAGAATCGACGCCAGAAACTAAAAGACACTAATCTGTGCAAGCCGTTTCATACCGAAACAACGAGTAGGATCTCAGTGAACGCTAAACTCGATCTGGTAGAAAGAGATAATGAACATATAGTGGAACCGAAAAATGTGAAACAATGAAGTGAAGTGCGTTACGATTGAAGTGAAAAACAATGTAGGGAACAAATAATCGATATCATCGTCCTTAATTAATGACATTTAATTATGATGAGTTTGGTAACGACATGAGCAAGAAAAAGAGCCGTGATGGTTTTTGTGAATATATTTTTTAATTTTAACCTAACTAGACTTTGCCAACTTTGTGGCACGTTAACACTAGAAATTAGGCAAAATTAATCCTAAGAAACTGATTTAGTATTTAAACGACGCAATACCTGCTCGCTAAAATTATAATACACATACACATATTCAAACATTATTATTAAAAGCAATTATTTGCAGTAGAAGGTAAGCGAATATTGCAAAATTGAAGGACCGAATCATCTTTAATATTATTGAAAATACAATGTGTATTTGTACGCTACATGCTTAGAATACTATAGATTTGTCTTCACAATGAAAAACAAATTATATATATATGAGTATTTCAAGTATAGGTGCAAAAAAGGTGCGTGTTGTAGCATTGGAGCATGTTGATGAACCTATTAGAACCACACCGCATTAATTTATTTGCGAATTAAAAACACATATGAGACAGAATAAACTTTGAAAGCTAAAAGCATGACACGCTAGGAACAAACAACAGAACAGGGCGAAAAAACAGACCACCATTGAAAAAAGTATTAACATTATACACAGCGTATTTCAGTGTATGGAAACAAATATAATATGCACTTATCTAATATAATGGAAGCGTTTCAAGTTAAGTAAGCATGTAAGAGGCTAAAATATGCGAGGTGGAATTAATAGATCATACATTATATTATAACAATTACCAATATTAGCATTAGTAATAATGACAATGCAAAGAGATATTTGGTTAAGGAAAGAAAACACTGAACAGTCGAACGAAGACTCGATTTGCACTGGGAGTGCATACTATGTCGTTGCGTACCATTATATCAGTGTATGTGTACATTGTTCTGATTATTTAAACAAAGCGTAATTACTAATGATGATAATTATAATGATATATGTATTATTATATATAACTATATCATGACTAATGGCTGCTGATTGTAAATAAATTCTCGTACCTGCACCGTATACATTTAGAAGGGTATTCATTTATTAAAGAAATCTGAGTGAATCTAAAATCAGTTACAGAGTCAATAGTTGCACCCGTAATAGGAAATCAGAGATCATAAAGGTTACTCTATAAAAGAAAAAAATAATACTTTTGTCGCATATTTAATTTCCTGGAAATGAACGCAAAACCATAACTGCCGATATTTACAAAGCTTACGAAGCTTTTTATATCCTATATATATATATATATATTACACTGTTCATATTGGGTTCCAAGTTTGTGTTGGTGATTAAAAATAAATGTACTATCGTATTATCTACTTACTGTAAATCATTGCAAATGAACACAAATTCCGTACAAGTATTGTACTAAATTGTCTACCACATGGAGCCCAATGTACAATATGCATATAAGAATAAGTTACTACTACTAACAGTAATAAACAGAAACATACATTTTTGCAAAAACCAGATTCGTTCTGCAATTTTATTTGAAATTAGTTATGCCTCTATATACTTCGAGGCTAAATGAGAATACGGAAACAAAATATCCTGCCGAATTATTTTTGGGGGACTTTGGTTTTGGTTATTTACATATCTAACAATTTTTTAGATATTACCCTTCAGAAAAGAGCTGTAACATTTGGTGGGATTGACCTAAACACCTATTCATCTTAGCACATGCAGCCAAACCTCGGTCCAACACATCGGTACATTTCTAAATTTCATAGTTTCGGTTTTGGAACTTGCTTTTGAAGCCGATAGAGAAACATTTTCATTCTTCAAAAACATTTCGATTAAAAATACAGAAATGCTAGACTCAAAAATAAATAGTTCCTACGTGATCGTGTTATTATCGAGTTATTAAAAACCGTCATGAAGTTGAAGATCCAGGCACAAAATTCAATGGACAAATCTGGAACGATATTTTTTCATTCAGTTAGGCGTTACTGGGATATACAGAGCGGTTTAGCTCGAAATTCTGCTAGTACTGACCAACCCCATGATTACTTATGTGTGTAACTGCTACTATGCTGCATATACTTTTTTAACGCCTTCGGCTATTTTTACTTTGTGTACAAGTTTACAGAATCACCTCTTCCATATAGCATCAAAGACTTGTTTGACGCTAGGGCTCTGACCTGAATGGGTTTTGCTGGTTTTAATGAGTATTTTTCCAACAGACCTATGAAGTGGCATGGTTATACCATAATAAGCATTTGCCGGCGGGGAACCAGCGACTGCTGCATGCCCATGGTTACCATGTCAATGTATTCAAAGAGGTGTGCATTAGTTACCTAAATGACGTTGCACCAAACGATTAACTCAAGAAACAAGTTTAAAGGTAATATTTACCTACTAAATTAATTGCTACTGGAATATACAAAGTGGCTTAGTTCGAAATCCTGCTGGTACTGACCAATTCTGATGATTTCGTATAAAAATAATTGCTACGGGTAAACTACAATGCTTTGAATGTTGATTTCATTAAAGCTAGTCAATATAAACATTTATCCATACAGGTTTATTATTACACTAGGAGTTCAAATTATTTTTAGAAAGAAAGTAAGTTAAACTTTTCTGTCTTGTTAATAATTTATTTCATCTCGAAACGGCATGTAAAACAGACATCGGTGTGCCCTGAATTGAAAAATCTGAGCACAAAGTATCCTACAAATCAAACGCTTCCTACTAAGTTGGTGCATCTTTTATTTTAACGCAGCGACACTCTTAACAGGCACGGCATTCAGCGAACAGTCGAGTACTAGCTTTTAGGTAATGCAGTAATACCTTATAATGATAACTTCGTTCCTATTAAAGCGCATAAACTAGGTACACATTATTTATAGGCTTAAAATTTATATTAGAAAAAGGTAGATTATTTCATTAATGCCCGAAGAGAGCTATGATCATTCAAAAATCTACGGTCACTGTTGGAAGTTTATAAGGTTAATAAATGACGTCGGTGTTAATAAAATTTATGAATTATAAATCAATAGGTGTGATAAATTATTAAATAGACTATAATTCAAAAACAGACCTTGTTTTTGATAGGTAAAAAATACATATTTTTTAGATATTTTTTAGATGTTTGGTGGTTTCATCTAAAATAACGTTTTTTGGCTTAAAAAGTGCTTACTCATTAAATACAATGAAAAAAGAGAAAAATAAGATGAACTTATTGACTCAACTCATCTATTAAATGTGTCTGTGAGTACTAATAAGGGATTTCCAAACAGTAAAAGCAGTTATCATTTATGTAAACACTAGTATCGGAAAACCGTGTCGACGGATCTTTCGTCCAAGAGACATAGTCTCGGGCGAGATTTGATTTGCCAGGTACTGCAATAATAAAAGCACAATCGCAGCACTTTTTTGTCGTTATAGCATGTTCCTTTGAAAATCTTTAGTTGTCATAATAATACCGATATAGCAGACATATTTGACGCATATCGAGACACTGATACCACTTAGAATATTCCTGCATCTCGGCTCATTACCGGTCCAGTCGCATCTGTCTGCAGGGCTGTTCATCAGCTGTGCACACATTGTATATGTCCAATGTACAGAAAAAAAAAAGTGGAACATTGCTGGTGAACGAAGTTTAGGAGATATACTTCGTTGATGTACATGATTTCAAACCAACCGTTATATTTTTTATGTAGTCAACTCTGTAGCCATGGCCGATGTATTCAACGTTCTGGATATGCGATAAACTTTATAAGTCTTTGGTGACCTATAGTTAGCAAACGAAATGTGATTAGCAATATAACCTAACTGAGCCAGTATATCCTAAACAATATGAGATAACTGTACACACAAAGCAAAGCAACAATTAAATTGAAGTTTTTTTTGTCCTATTGGCCTTTACAGTTGAAGTTAACAGCTGATCGTAGAATCAGATCGCGATTATTGTAGATCGTGGTTACGATGGATACCTCTGTCTGCGACGAACCTAGCTCCTATCTGGAATTACTATCAGTACTTGATCAACCGCGATTGGCCGAGTTATGGGATCCGGATACCGAAGACTACATGAATGAATTAAGTGGAATGGGACTTCAAAGGTTAGTTAAAATGGTGTTGATTTTTAGAGTCTGAATAGTTATTTTTAAGGCAAATATATTTGCACTAATTATTTACATTTGACGCACAATAATCTTATGATGCTATGTTTATATTCATATACATTTAGTTTTCTCTGTTTACGTTTCATGTTTCTATTGGATTTGCTGAAAGCCTGAAGCGGACAAAATGCGCTATACAACTAGGCTAACAACAAGAGTTCACCTGGTTTGGTTCCGTAAAGTGTGGCCATTTTTATGACACATTGGAATGAGAAGCAATATTGTTAACAGAAGACGCTCCTTGTCAATGTATGATATTTACAGACTCATTCAAGAGCCTCAACGTTTACACGAGGAACACACAGCACTAGTGGATGCTACCCAGGAGTTGGCTTTCAATAATTACAAAACATTTGTCCAGACAGCAAATTGCGGACGGGATATTAGATTACAAATGGCAGCTGTTGGAAAGAGGCTAGAGTCACTTCGTCGAAAACTTCCGATGTGCGCTACTGGGTGCGACCAGCTGTCAAGTACTTGTAAGGACATCACAGCACGTTGGAAGCTTACTTCACAGACTCTAAGTAGACATAAGCGGCTAGTGGAGATCCTGGAAATTCCGCAACTAATGGAGACGTGTGTTAAAAATGGGAACTTTGATGAGGCTCTTGAGCTAGCAGCTCACGTTAAGCGGCTAGAAAGACGGCACGGTCATATCCCATTGGTGGCGACTATTGGTCGTGAGGTGCGCCATCAGCAGGCTCTCATGCAAAGTCATTTACTCACGCAACTACGAGGCCCAGTACAGCTACCAGCTTGCCTGCGTCTTATTGGCCATTTGCGGCGTATGGAAATGCACTCGGCGCATGAACTTAAAGCGCGATTTTTGGAAACACGTGGAGCGTGGTTTGATTCATTATTAATACAAGCTGAGGCTGCCGGGTCAGATTCGCAGGATTTATCGCAGGATGCGTATTCACGCCTTGGTCGTCTCCTTGAACTCTATCGGGTCCATTTATTTGACCTGATTACACAATACAAAGCAATATTTCCAGCTGGTCAGGATGAAGAAGCCGATAGCGGTGAAGAAGACATATGTTTGTTTCAAGGTTGGCTTGTGTCTAAGATTGAGGGACTATTGCAGCAACTACGTAAAAGCCTCGCCGCGGATCCTGAATGCCGTTTAGACGCTATGATCTCGCAATGCATGTACGCGGGCCTTTCGTTCAGTCGTGTAGGTGCTGACTTTCGCCCTCTTTTGACTCCCATATTTCAAGATGCGTTGACAACCCGTTGCGACGCATACCTAGCCAAAGCACATCCACAATGTCTTCAAATGATACAACACTTAGACCTTGTAGCAGTTCGGGACACAGTTGATTTAAATCCGGCATCAGTAGATTCATTCGTAACGTCTGCACCTGCAAGCATTCTTGTTGTACCACCCCTAACCGTGTATTGCAACGCACTTCTGTCTGTTTTCAATGAGCTACGTGTATGCCCACTTGCCTCTGCCATTGCATATGCTGTATCATCCATTAACGCTCAACTAACTGAGATAGCAGAGACAATTCGTGGACTGCATAGCTTATGGTCAGAAAACTCGTCGTCATCGTTGTCATCCTCATCATCATCACTAACGAATGCACAACAACGTGGCTTCCAGCGGCTAACAGAGATTTTTGCAACCGATTTAGTGCCGTTTGCTGCTCGAACTTTTGAAGCTTTATTCCCTACAGCGATGGCTGCCCGGTTAATAGGCTGTTCTCTACCTCAAGTCGAAGAACTGATAGGTTGTCGAATCAATATAGCCGATGTGACAAGATCGCTTGCAGAATTTGTGTTCCAAGAAGATATTTTTACAGACAATAATTCCGGCTGTATTTTAGAAACTACCAAATATGACAAAAAGGGAGCACCTGCAAGTAGTGAAGCCAATATCGAGTAAAGTCTCGCTGAAGCACTGCAGGAGCGCGGTGATCAATAAAAATTTCTGTGTTTCATTGAATTTTGCAATTGGTAAAAATTTATAGTGAATGTTTATACGACCTAAGTAACGTTTTGAAGTCTCCCAGGTTTACCACTTCCATTATTATATCTACGTATTTAGGAATATAGTAGCTTAGATTAAGGGTATTTGAAATAAATATCAATGCTAAAAAATGCGTGAATGGTGTACTTATTGTTTTGTATTTCTTAATTAGTGTGCAGTCAGGGAGGTCTTACATTGTACAAATTAAAAATGTGCTAAGCCGCGATGATAACGGCAATCCTTAACGCCCTCACGTGTTTTTTGTTCGTAAGGTGTGTACATTACTTTTTTTGACTTTGGCTTCGGGCCGTCCATTTACATCGGACTCATAAGAGCATTTCGCAAGAGCCACACATTATTTCTCCTCATAGTTAACTGCGTACTTGCAGAGTAGACATGGCGGAATAACGAAACTTAAAAATAAATATTTTTTATTTGTAACAAGCACATAAGAGACTCCTACTGTCTAAAATTAATTAGTCTTGAAAATAGAATAAAACAGTGTGATAAAAACCATGATAAACTTTGTCATGAGCATTCATTATAAGGTGAGATCTTAGCATGAGATTTGAGAATACGTCTTAAGTGTGACTCTCTAACTATCGTTTTTCTACTATTACAGAAGTATGTTTTTCCAAATGGATGATTTAATCCATTCTACCGCGTGGTCTTCATTATGTGTTTCAAAACAGGAGTATCTTTATCAATAAAACTTCAATTTAGCAATTTAGCAATAAACATTTTACGCTCTATTATTTTTTGGACACACAATCTCAACCTTCGCAAAACTTCAGTTAGCCAGCGTTGATTCTTCTCTGCCTTAGGTTTCATATATTGCGGATCGTGTTGGTAGGAAAAATATATTACTGAAACATTCAAGCTGACATACGTCCACACCGAGCTAAGTGTGTGGCCTAAGAATCTGGTATTTAATTAGTATACAATAAAGTACACAAACCATGATGCAAAACTGGATCATTTTCATAACTGATATTTCCGATAAGCGGGTAAAAAATGTACAGGGTGCGTGAAAAAAATGTATACATTTTGAAATTTCTCCTGAAAATTTTCCTTTTTAGAATTTTTCCTGCGCACAAGGTTAGAACCATGTAAAAAGGGCGATCACAGTACGATTCGAAAAACAAGTATCCCGTTGCAGCCCGATAGAGTGTCCCACTTAAACTATCAAGAGGCATAAACCCTTTTGCTTTAGCAAAGAGAATGACATCAACATGATGGAGGCACGTTTAAGCTTTGAAGAAAAAATATGTTGATAAGTGGTATTGAAAGTCAGAGAATGTTGCTGTGGTTCAGTGGCAACGCAAAGGTGAATATGGAACCGTTTTACATTCAGGGTTAACAATTACACATCTACGAAACATATTCGAGATTTACCAGGCAATGTGGAATTTTCAAAATGGAAGATCAGGGCGTACTCGATTTTTACATATAAGGCAAAATAACTTAAACACTTCGTCATTGGATACTTTTTTGCAAAGTAGAATAGGAGTTAAAAATATAACGATGCTAAAGGTCGCAGGTCTGAATATTGAATCTGATTAGCATTTAGAACATCCAGTATGATCAGAAAATATACTAATTTTGCAAACTGCACTGCAGTTTTTTTACATATGTTTTACATACATAGGTTGAAAGATAAATTTTCTATGATAGTGTAAAACATATATACATTTTTAACGTATTCTGTATCTTCCTATTTTTAGCCAATCGTTCAATCTCACAGCCGCATCCAACGAACTTATGTATCTATATAAAACTATGCTATAATGATTCCAGTCTCTTGTTTATAAAAAAGATACATAACATTGGTTAAAAATTCTGAGACTTAGATTATTTTGACGCCTGCAAAGGAGAATATTCAAAAAACACCCTCAAATAATTTGCATAATGTCTATGCGTTATTTCCTCATCAAATTTTCTTCTGCTCAATGCTTTATTAACTGGCGTCCTTTTTGTAAAATTGACTTAGTGTGCTTAATACTAATTGTTTGCTTTGACAAACATCACAGCTAGGAGTTGGTAGGTAATTTCATCCATACAAAAATACTTTGAAACTACTTCTGAAAAACTAAGCTATCACTAAGCTAAGTTTCACTTCCAATACACTCCCCCAATTGATTACATCGTTTTGTATGCAAGGAAGAGGCAATATTTCAAGCAAAAATGTGGGGACGTTAAAATAAGTTTTTCTTTAGGACAGAATTTTACGTCGAGATACGTCGCGACAAATGAGTGGGTACAGACAAGCAAACTTCTACGTTTGTGCTAAATATATTATTCGTAAGAATTTATAATGGCTTGTGTTTTGTAATTTTACTCTATAACAATCTTAGTAAATAGGAGTTTTACTTGCTGTATTAAATTAGTACTACGCATCAAATCATTTTGTATTAGCTTCTTCTTTGACAGACATTATATACTTCTAGTTTATTTCGCCACTTTTTTTCACGTTTCTGGGTCTGCTATTCTTGTTAATAAGGAAGTAACGGTTGACGGTTGCGAGTTTGCCAAAGTCACAAAACGCTACTTAAATTGTCTTTCAGACTAATAACTAATAATAATTATAGAAATCATATGAATTAGCATAACCCGCTATAGGTTATGCTGCTAGCCCGCTGCTGTAGTATTGCTGATGACCACCAGGCGGCGCTTAGGTCGGCGAACCCAAACAACGTTGAGTAGGGCAGCGCAGGAGGAGTTGTACCGCTGCGGGCCTTCCTACTTACACCACTGTAATTCCTTTTGCCTGCTTGATTTCTGTGCAGTTCCGCTCATGTTTGGTGTGGATGATTTCAGTCACCACTACCACTACTATCAGTACTATTGCTTCGATAACCCTCTTGGCTACTGTTATTATGGTTAATTTCTATTCGCTAAGGAACAGAGCACGAAGCAGCAAGACCGACTGCTATTGCAATTAATATAGCATTGAAAGCACGGCATAACGACATACAGCTAGCTATCATAGTCAGCTCTTGTGGGAATGAAAACTGTATAGTGTTTCTGTCTGCCTCATTTCAGCTCGAACAGCTTTTTGCCTCAACTCACATTGTCGCTCAAACAGCAATTGCGATAGCAACAGAGAGGACGATTCTTGAATAAGGGCTTAAAGGAATTCTTATCATCGAAGACAGGCAACCCTTTCAATCACCAGTTTCATAAGCGACCAAAAATTAATCACACGGTGTACAGCAAGTCGCGAGCCGCACAATTGGTAAGTACTATGTGATTCCTCGCAGAAGGCTGCGAAAAACCCAAGAAATTTTATTTTCTTAGATATTTGTCTATTTATATTTAATTATGTTCTATGCGTAAATTATATGAACATCTGTGTGGGTCCTCTGAATGCGCAGCCGTTCGCGGAAACGTGTTTCGCTTTCGGATCATTACGCCGCCGTTGTCTTTGCACCAGCTACGGCCGGCGAAAGCATTATTTACCGGATTCGGTTTGACCGGATTTTGTCGAGATGTGGCCACAGTTTTGCGCAGAAAGTCTGTTTATTAGTATTTCTTTGTTTGGGCAATGATTTTTGTCCTAATTCACATATGGCTCTATTTTATTAGTATGTCCATTATCCCTAAATCACTTCTGATCAAAAGCAGTATAAAGCTTCTTCCATAAAACACTCTTATATTAAGAATTAAACAGATCAGCGGACTTACATATTATACTAAGGCTACCCAGTACGCAATGTTTAACTGCGCTTATGGAACGGATTACAAAGTATTTTAACTAAAAAAATACACTGTATCGCAAAAGAGTGTCGGTTGCGTCTTCTTGGAAAGTGATGTTTTTTTCTCGATAATAACAAATAACTGAAATTAACTGGCTAGCTGTTAAAATCAGGGTAAAACTTTATAAAACAGGACGAGGGATTTATTGGCGAAGCAGGTTGATGAAATCAGGAATGAATTTTTGTTCTCTTCAGACAAGAACAGAGGCTGTTTTTGTGTTTCGTTTAGAATAAAGTAACGCGGCAGCTATATTTGACGGGATAAACCTTAAACGGAAGATTGAAATTAATAAATAATATGGTTACATGTAAATATTTTAGACCCTTGGAATATGTCGGTCGGCAACGAGAGTAATAATAAGCCTGATAGCACGAGTTGCGACAACGAAGAGATAAAACGAGATAGAATGGATATCGATTTGGAAAAGGTATGAGAACACTACATCATGGCTTAAAATAAATTTGAGAATTGCATACAGTTGTTCCTTCAGCAATGAGCCATATAACCTTTATGTGTAAGTTCCAACTTCCAATTCGATTTATATCATAAGCATTTACTCATAAAATTGAATACTCTGTATAACCCTTACAGAATCACAAAGGTACCTGTAAGTCGTGTTCCTTTTTTGTTGTCTTCAATTTAGGATTTTCTCTTATCGCATGGATTTAGCGTTTGTTGTACTTAAAGTCAATACAAGGACATTTTATATACAAAGAATTGAGCTTGTAGCTTTTACATGCTAATATCTTCACAAGACTGACATCCCACTTGATGTTGACTAATAAAGTGATTAAATCGTTGATAATTAAAATGTTTGAATGTTTATTAGAAATCTCTGAATGATGGTAAAAGAATCAGACGAACTAAATCTATATATTTTGAGTATTTGAGTTACTATAGAAAAACACTGTCAATGAGCGCTTTTTTATGCTAACATTGGTAAAACATGTACGTTGATGAATCTAATCCAATTTCGCGAGCGCTTCAAACCCATATCACGGCTTACGCTTAAATTAAAGCCAAGATGAGACACTAGAAAGTATATGACTTGAGATTTGGAATTCCGATTTGATCGAGATCTTTTTCATGTGTATTTCTAAAGTAATCAAAATGGCTTTTGGAAGCCTGGGTGACATATCTGTAGGTGGTCTTTCTGATGTTCCACGTTCCGTCGAATAAGCCGAACAACAAGGCTGCCTTCCAAGCACTGGTGTTGTTATTTTCATGCATGGCTGACGACGGACGCCTGAAAATCTCAAACATCTATTTCTATTACATCGGATTTTCCATTGTTCGCGAAGTCTATTCTAATTCAAACATAGACTTTTTAATAAATTTGGATACAGAAGAAATCGGCCTCGTCTGTACCATTTCACGCAGTTAGCTTCAGTTTAGGAATTTAATACAATGCTTTAGTGAGAGTAGAAAGATATTATGCGACGAAAACTTCAGGAAAAGGGTAAAGCCGGGACTGAAGCAGGTGAAACAATGGACGTATTGAGTACAAACTCAGATAGTGACACAAGTAAAGAATCGACGGACCAAGAAATGGAGATTGTTCATGACGCTATTAAAGCAAACATGTTTAAGGACAGAGGCAACCAGTGTTTTAAGAAGGGCGATTATGACGAGGCTATCCACAGTTACACAATTGCTATCCAAGCCGACCTGTCTAACCCCATTCTTTACGGAAATCGAGCGATGGCTTTTTTAAAGAAAGCTGATCTTTTGTGTTCAAAACATACCAACGATGATACACTTTCAAAAACTGCTCTTGATTTCTATCGAGCTGTGGACCAGGATTGCTCACAGGCCCTGAGACTTGACAAAGATTTTGTTAAGGCATACTTTCGTCGTGGTATGGCACGTAAAGCGCTAGGCATGATTCAAGAAGCCTTATTCGACTTTGAAGCCGTCGGACGACTTGAGCCAGGAAACAGTGTAGCCGAGAAAGAAGCTCAATCACTGAAAATAGACTTGTGGGCCAAAGCTAAAAGCCAAAAAAGATTTTTCACTGAGTTTAAGAGCAGTCCTGTGATGCCTTGTGCTAGAAAAAAGGATTGGAGTGGAGAATTTAAAAGAATGCGTATTGAGGAATTAAACCTTAAGGATAAGGAGGAAATCGAAACCTGCTCAGATGAGCACAGAGAGATTGCAGAAAAAATGGACATTGTGCCGAGAATTATTATGCCCTCACCGCCCACCACCTCATATGAGTTTTATGCAGATTGGCGCGATTTGGCAGGTCATCCCAAGGAGCGAACTCAGTACCTGATGATGATGGGTCCCCAAGGAGTTAAGGCTGTGTTTCAAAATTCGATGGAGCCGGACGTATTATCAGATATAATTGCCCTACTTTATAATGCCGTTGCCGAAAGCAAAAGCCGTCATGACGCTATCGCGGATGTTCGAACAAACTCCGTGGCTTTGCTAGAGGCTATAACTCATGTAGGAAGATTCGACACTATCATCATGTTTATGAACAAAGAAGAGACTGACAAACTGAAAGTTATACTGAAAGGGGAAACACGTGTAGAAAAGCTGTGGAATTTGTTGTAATGTGTTTTAGCTAATAAATGCATTAACAATATACGATGAATCTTTTTTGAGTATTTATAAACATTTCAATGTTTGGTTCGAATCAAAAGATTACTAACTGTTTGTAAGCTATATCTCAGTACAAGCCTATCTATGCATATCGTTACGAGTGCTTCGTTATGAAGCCTAGATGGATTAGGTTTAGACATAGACTCTTAGTAATTTCGTTTTTGGTGAATAAAAAAATAAAAGGCGGAAGTTCTTTATTATTATATTATGAGTTCTTTATTTCTTTCAAATAATCTAACCAGAGTCCGCAGAACTGAAAAGAACACTTTCAATAATTCATAATCTAGAATATTTATTGCAAGAATACTTATGTAACATTTTTTGTTAGCGAAGTTAATGTTTACTATGATGTTTAAAGGTTCAAAGGTTTGAGAGAGTTGTTGACGTTTATGTAACATTTGCAATGGTGCTAGCATTCTAATAGAGGCCTCTAGTGGGCATTCATATACTGGAAACCAGAACCACTTTTCACATCTTAAAACTTTGATGTACTTTGATGTAGAACTGCCATAAGAGATAGAGATTGCATCAGAGAGAGAGAGAGAGAGTCTTAGTAGTGCTTTGTAGGTAACTCTGGGGTAATAGCGATCCAGATAGCCTTTGCAAATTAATTATTATTACGAAAGCGTTAAAGCAATAACCATAATGGTAATTAACTCAACCGAACGGAACACGTTAGCTCAAATTTGGACAAACAGTACAATTGCATGCAATACTGTGGAATAGATGGATGTCGATGCATCATTTGGAGTATTGAGTCAATCAATTAAGAATTCAATTATGATCATAAATTCGCAATAGTTAAATACCATGCTAACACTCAAAATACAACAATTTACAACAATGGCAAAAGAGGTTCAATATGCCATACTATACCATATATATGATGGCTTTGTTAAGGAGTGATGGGCTAAAGTTGAGATCGGAAGATGGTCCTTAAAGCTCATATAATTATTTAGAGTCCATTAATTACTATGTATAATACCATATTAATCAACTAATAAGTTTATGGTCGAACATATCTAAGACCGTAAATTAGTACGTTTTCATCTAAACTTTTCTCTAAGTCTATCTTTTTTTTCTTCGAACATCTAATCAAACAAATAAAATACTATAAAAATTGTAAGATATACAGTAATAGTAATAATAATAATAACTATCTTTGTCCATTTAAAATGTACGTCTGCGGGTTAAATACGTGAATACTCGCCAGGATTCCGGCCTTATTTCAAAATGCTTAGTTTTTCACTACCATTTTTATACGCCTGTTAGAAACATCTTTCCTATAATTCATAATAACACTGAAGTATTGTGTTATGTATAACGGGATAGTTTACACATACCATCAGCTGCTGACGCTGTATATGTGCATTTCTGTATGTTATAATCTAAGTTAAGTTTTCTGTTTTATATGCATGTCTCAACACATCGTGTTGAAATTGTCTGGATTTATGGGTGAAAAAAGGGTGGTGATTCGGCGAGTCAGTCGACATCCTCTGGCGCTAAAGAAGCTCTGGTAGATGAACGGGAAGACTCCGTGTTTTCGAGAGACGGCGAACAAATGGACTCGTGTGACATCGGTATCGTTGCCAAAAGTCCTGGAAGTAACCATGAGTTGAAAGCCGATGAGGTTGTACAAGAGGAAGAAGATATGGAAGCTGAAGAAAATGTGGAAAATACGACCCCGGGGGTAAGAAATTCGGCATCCTTTGTGGTTACTGGTTGGAGAGATGTTAACCAATTCTATTTGAGCCATCATTAGCCTCACTTTGCCATCCTTTACCCTTTAAAAATATCACGAAACGTAAAAAATAAAGTTCGTTGTGTTAGTTTACTAATGGGTATGTTCTGTTGTTAACTCAATTAGTAGCCAGGCAAAAAGGAAGTCTACTGTGTTTATCTAAAAGAACAATTATTTTCTTCTTGGGTCTTGTGGTTACAGCATAAACGTGGCCGCGGGCGCCCACCGAAAGCAGGTAATGAGCGCCGCCAACGTCGTCCCCGAGCCAGAGATCACAATGCACCGAAAGCTCCTATAAACGGTTATGTCCGCTTTCTCAACGAAAACCGCGAAAGATGTCGAAGAAATAATCCAGACGCCGCTTTCTCAAATATAACCAAACTACTCGCCCACGAGTGGAGCGCACTCAAGCAGGAAGAGAAACAGGTCTTAACATAAACATATTGTTGATTTAGATAATTTTTAATATATACACAATATGATCAGTGAATGGTTTCATGCACTCATAAAAAGTCGAATCATTGATGGCGAAGTGGCCTTGCGATATTCTTTTTTGGATGATGCAGTCTATGGTTAATCTCTATGATAATGACAGTATTTCTCTATTATTTTTATGCGTATTATATTTAGATTACTTACTTTGACGCATCTAATTATATACCACAGAAATATCTCGATGCGGCGGAGCGTGACCGAGAGCGATACGCGAAAGAGGTTGAGGAATATCAGCGGACGGATGCCTACAAGCAGTTCCGTCGGCAGCTCGCGGAGGAAGATGCTGCGAAAAGGCACTGTCAACAATTCGAGGTTCAAGCTGCACGCGAAGGGGATCAAAGGCGAAGGCAGCAACTCAAAGCTAACAATGGGACAGCGACCTCGGCACTTCCTATGGGAGCCACCGCTACCGGAGCTGCGATGGGACATCCTAACAACAATAGTAATAATGGAGAAAACAATAAGGTAGGTACCGGCATGAGAAATACGATATTCAGCATCATCACCGCCAGGGCCGCAATTGCCGACGTTTACTCTTTCTGTGGTAAATCATTTTAGGTGAGTTGACCAAAATTGGTTCTTATCGATCCTCTCCTTATAAGTGGAATTTCGTTTTTTAATGTAGCGTGAGACATGTGTTTATTTTCAGTACCCATTTAAAATGGGTGGACCGGTTAGTCTGAAGCCAAAGGTAGTTGTAAAGCCAGAAGAAGTTATCTGTGGAGTTGGAGCGTCAATGATGATGGGTCGAGAAGTATCTCCTCCAGCCCCTATCCCCAATATACGACATAACCCTGAAGATACGACCTTCGATATACCCATATTTACTGAAGAGTTCCTTGACCATAATAAAGGTATGTAATACTTACATTTTTGCCGTTAGTAACAGCCATCATGTCTTTTTCCGCTCTGCTGTTGTCTCCGATGTACGCTTCTGTTAGCATTTTTTGAGATCATCTTGTCATCAGATAAGCATGTAACATCCAGTTCTCATGTTTTAGCTCGAGAGGCCGAAATGCGTGCACTTCGGAAGTCTCATACTGAACTGGAGGAGCACAATGCAGTTCTTGCAAAGCACATCGATTCATTTAAGGACGCTATAGGCCGACTGGAGGCTGAAGTAGAGACTCATCGGAATTCAAATAAGGCCATGCAAATTTACCTTGACAAATTAAGAGCCACGCTCGCTCAGGCCTTTCAACAGGTTAGACAATAATGGATAATGACGATTTGTTAGATTTCATTCTCAGCTGTTCTTTAAGAGGGCCTAATACTTCAGTAAATTTAGTGGCTTTGTAGGGAGTGACTAGATTATGTTACTTTTTTCTGTGTTCTAATGTTAATAGCATACGGTAATAAGAAAAATGGTACTATCGGCGCATGTAGTGCAAGTGTATAATATGAAAATGAGGAGTGGTGTTGATAACATGTGAAAGAGTATATTTTTGCCTCTAATTTTGTATGTTTTCTCGTATTCTACCCAACTCAGGTAACAGTTCCGGGCTGGGAATTCGGCGCTCCGACAGTCGAGAACGTTGATGCATTTTTGCAATACGCGCTCGGTCTAATTCAGTCTTCGCCCAGAGAACATGATAAATTGCTGCACAATATCCGTTCTGTGGTCGGAAATATAGAAGAAACTCTTAGGGATCTTTAATGAGTGATTTGGAATTTGCTTGGCAATTTGAATACGCGAGGAAGTCATGTGGCGATATTAAGAGGTTTCGTCGAAACCAGTAAGTAGTCTATTTGGGGGCAATCATGAGATTTTTGCGAAGCATTTTCTTAGATATTTTTTAAGGTCTTCTTCTAATTGCAATGGTCGTGTTTACACTCTTATGAGCTATTTCGAGACTTCCAAAGAGAAAAGGGGCGAGAATTTTTTATTAAATAAGTTTTTCTTTATCAATTGAGCGAAACGTTGGCCGATCCTCAAGAGACTCCAGTTAACGATAGGTACAAAACCTAGGAATTACAAGGAATTGTGCGCCAGTCTATTTCGCAATGGAAATTTGCCCACCAGCCAATTGCTAGCAGCAAAGACAGTTCTTGTAGCGAACAGACACTGCGCGTATGACCCATGAGTAGATTTAAAAGGGAATTGTTTCACGTCAGGTTAACACGGAAGTATGGGGTCAGGCTTTTACAGCTTACGTGCCTAGGATAGTAGCACTTCTGCGTATATTGTGTGACAATACATGTAACAGGCAAGGACAAAACATTTACTTCTAATTAAGCATCACTAGGTATCAAATGATAGTACACTAGGCCATTTTAAGTCATTATACCTAGGAAGGATTTGTCAATGCTGTACAAATATGTAGAAAACAATCAAACTGGTCTATTGACTTCACTCAGTATCCACACAGTGTGACAGGTTAGAGTATATAAAGTCACTTACAAAATACTATTTGATCGCTGCAGCACAAACGATTCGTTCGTTGATGGAAGTTCGTGAGCACATGACAAGAGCGTGAAGTGAGTACTTGAGGTGAAATTTAAGCCTGATTGAATCTAATGTGTTTGTTATTTGAATTGATAAAATAGAGTACGCATTGAAAGGCGTGACTAAGTTGAAACAAAGGCATTGAGTCAATTGTGAGTCATTAGTATTAAATACATTATAATCTCATAGTTCAGAGTGGACCTGTATAAAGGCGCAAGGTATATATATATATATATATCGATACACGGCTATTTGATAGGTAATGGCTGTGGACGCAGGGTAGTATTCGAGTGAATTTACCGGCTCAATACACATAATTTACAAAGCAAATCAACATTTTAGATGTAACTCGACAAGTTTTTGCCGAATGTATATTTTGATAATAATAATAATAAGCATTAGTATCGAATCGAATAATATTGCCGTCTAACTTTACCATATATTTGTGCTACCTAACGAATATGTTTTCACAACCTAGTATCTAAAAATATATAATATTTTAGATCAATGATTATATTTTTTGGTAAACATAAATTAGTATATAAGTAAGCATATATCTGAAAAGTTGACATTGAGCCAAAAACAGTCCAATGAATTACTACAGTAATGTATTACTTAGTGTTCGTGCTGGAAAACGGCACAAAACGTATTCCATTTGATAGAAAATATCCCATACATAGACGATTCACAATAGTAATAATCATTAAGCGATTATTTATTGATCATCACGATTGTGCTGTATAATAGTCGTGTACAATAATAAACGTTAACATCACCGAACTCTGTTTATTCAGTTTATGAATCTATTATTTTCTTTAACCAATTAAGGACTTTTAATTACGATGGCGAACCTTAGTATATATATATATATATATATATAATATAAAATAAGGATCGCCTATAATAGTTATATAATATATTATTTATAATAAAAGTCGTCGGTAGTACAAAAAATGATTTTAAAAAACCTGTATTGCTTTCCTATTTGTATCGGTTCTAAAATTGGATAAACATCAATGACTAATTTAGATGCTAGTATGAAAAATTGAATCTAGGAGATTATAATGACCATTTGTTTACCAGCAGATATCAGTACAGGTTGCACATATCATTACGCTGCAAGTAAAAATTATTTCAAAGGCCCTTTAATAAAAAACGTGTTCTTTTCTGTCCTGTATGTTCTTCGGGCTCGTTTCGGTCACCGACCTGTAAAAACGCGTAATTAATTATTTGTTATTTCCACTTGAAAGGCTACTCTTGAAAAAACGTTTCGTAGTCTAAAAAAACTTGGCACGTGCCATTCAAAGGAATTTCAATTGAAGGCATTCATTTAGTATGATGTTTACGGTAGAAATAATCGGTCTAAGTTAAATAAAATGTTTATTATTTATTTCACAATTGCATTATTTATTTAATAAAAATTAAATAAATTAAGCTTAAAATTATGTAAAATGTAAGTATGAGATGTAACTCGTTTCGTTGTATTAGGCACGTTTTGGATTATGATATCTGAGGTTTAGGAAGTTCATTAGACTCAAAGGCAGCCTTCCTTCGGCGCTTACAACCTACATATTCCGTACCTTAGGAATACGTAGGTTCATACAAACAACATAGGTACGTTAGCAGAGCTAGATACAATGCCTGACTGATTTTGCAGCCATTGCAGTACGAAATCTAACGTCATATAAATTCAGTCTAAATTTCCCATACGCTTTGTATATTTTTGCCCTTATTGCAGTTATGAACCCATCCTAAGACAAAACGAATTAGATTTGTGACGAACAAACAGTTCTATGTATGGTTATGTGTAGGCTGCATCATAAAATCTCTAGATACTGTCGTCTTACCTCAATAATATGTTCGTTTGAAAATTCTCCGTAAATAGCGCTATCGTCAATTTGTTCCGTAAGGGTTTGCTGGATTTCTTCTCTTATTTGGGAATCATCTCCAAGCTGCATAACTGCCACTTCAGGTACCGCTTCTAAAAGAGCAGGTTTATCTGCCAGCATATGGTCCCAGAGTCCGCTCCCCTCAACTTCGTACATTGTTTGAAGATCGTGCTTGAGTAAATTCGTCTTTTTCACATCTGCTTTAATTCTATAATTTCCTTGTTGGCGTCGGCTGTTTCTTTCTCTCTGCTGTTGTTCTATTCGTCTATTTCGCTCTTGTAAACGTTTCATAGCTTTAACAAGCTGCTGCTCAATAGACATTCCATCCCCGAAGACAGGCATTCTAGTCGTTGTAGTTAGCCGGTAAATATGTGGCGTTGCATACAAGTTATGGGTGCCATCCGAGGTGCCGTATGGGACTCTCGAGCTCTGCTCTAAAGTAGTATGAATAGTACTAGTAGTTGCGACAGTATCTAACTTCTTTTCTGCCGAAGAAGAATTTGTTGTTTTGGTAGGGTACGTCGTGTTCTCGACCTCGAAGTGCGTACTAGATCTGTTAAACGTGGATTGCTTTGCAGTTGTCATCTTTAAAATCGAACCGGGTGTGTCGTGTCTGTCAGTTAGTATTCCAGCTGGTGGTATATACACTCGATCACGATACCGCGGGGCAATTACCGCATGGCCAAGTGAGCCGAAATGTCTTACCCTCATAGGAATCGGTCTCCGCGGCACATGTCTTCTAGTTGTCAAAAGTAAGGGTCTCCAGGTTCTATTTGTTGTTGCGTAGACAGTAGGTTTTGAAGTGGTGGAAGTTAATGCACTTGTGGTTGTGCGTCGAGACTTTGAAAATACAAATTCATCGATAGTAGGATCTATGTTACCCATATTTAGCTCAGCCTCTCCTCTCCTCCAATTGCTACTTGGTAGGCGATGTGTTGAAAGTTCATTTTGATTCGTTTCATGAACATACTTCCAGTCCTGCTCTTCTACACCGCTGACCTCAATTAAAGGTGCTATATCATGCTCTAGCGTCAGAGAACTTTTTGGCAGCTTTCGGTAAGCTAAACTTCGCCCTCTATTAGAGGGTCTTCGAAGCCTTTGCACGGTTTGCTCGATGGACACTTTCCACTTTTCAAAATCATCATTGTCGTCATAATTTTTTTCCGTGGAACTCTTAGATGTCAGCGCTTGTCTACGGTTTGGTGCTTCTATTGCAGAGAGTGTTATTGGGTGAGATGTGAGGTTCCGAGTGATGTCTGTATTCGCTGCTGGTTTCAATTTTGATGATCTATCAGGTATAGCACTGTAAGCTGTCCAAGACATATTAGGAAAGCTGTTAGTTACTGTTGAATCTTTGTAAGAAGCCTTTGCCGTCGTTTGTCTATCTTCGAGTTCGTCATAATAGTCATATTCATCTCTGGTTAAAGGCCGTTTTGTTGTTGTAGTAATTATTGATGTTCGCCTAGCTCCACTAAAGCTGAAACGAGGCATTTCGAACGAGTATATAGGCGGCAACTCGTCGTACGTTCTTGTAGAATTCCGCTGAATATTTGTGGAATTTCTCTTTAATTGTGCTTCATGTATTCTGTCCTTAGTGGTTTGGGGCACCCAAGTTGTTGTTCGATAAAATTGTCGAGGTATGGTCTTAATTTTTTCGGTTGCTTCTCCAGAACCACTAACGGCTTTTCTAGATTGTCCCAAATTAAATTGATGTACCGTGTTATGATGACGAGTGCCTTTTTCCACATCCAGCGTGCTTATCCATGCTTGCGTAGGTCTTTGTGCAGTGACAGTAGTAATTAATTTTATAGGTCTGTGAGGTGCATAACCATGTTCTTTAGAGAAACTGTGGTAATATCGAAGCCGACCTTTGACTTGCGCGCCATCACTGGTAACTTCCTTAGTTTCATTCTGGCAGCAGGGATATCGTGTTCGTAAGCCTACTTGGACTACATTCCTCCCAAATGAAGACTTGATTTCACTAATGGATCGTGCTGTTGGTTGATACGGCTCCACTATTGGATATGTACTGCGCCACGAAACTGATCTAAGCTTAGGTGTTGTATTAAAGTAGGAGTAGGGTGAAATTGTAGTGCTTTTGTCAGCCTTTGATGCGATGTAGGGCCACGGGTCCACAGTTGCCATTTTCCAAGACGGTGAGTGCGAGACGCCTACGGGTCGGAAACGGTGACTAAACTCTCCTCTTATCTCCGAGGCAGCGCTTTGTTTGTTACTATCTATTCTTTTAGAAAAAGTATTTTGTTGTCTTTCTCGCTCAGCGTTGTCATACTCCTTATGTTCCATATAGGTCATCCCATGGATATATTTTGTATCTTCGGAGGCTCGGGTGGAGTGAACCATACTCGGCCGCTGTGTTGCTGCAGGACGCGTGACAGTTTTTGATAATTTCCTGAAACAGGTCCAAAACAAGCAGATTGTTCTAATTTTAGAGACACTGTTTTCACTTGTCTGCTGAAACGGCGAGAAGACTGTGGAACTGCGGAACCATGCACATTCTCAATAGCCATATATTTTATATAACAAAATCATCGGGCTTTAGTTGTCTCCAGCGTCCGCTCATCTAATCTTCGATTTTAGGGTAGACGAAAATTAGACTTAGCAAATTAGACTATGACTTTTCATTAACAATTACATATAAAGCATTGATATAAGTGCTAATATATCTATTTTGTTGTTATACATCTGTTATTGCCCTTTTTTGTGTTGTCGATTGCCAAATATGTCTTTAGAAGACACGTAGCCATTGTCATTTTTCTTGTTTCATATCGGTCTATTAGAAGCATTACATAATATCTCTGTAAAAGTGAGCAGATTTGTAGGCTGTATAATATATTGAACGGCTGTATGTCGAATAGGCTATATGTAGAATGTAGTATCACATACTTTGAGTCAGGAATTTATTTTTGTTGTGACATACTTTTAACATACATATGTCAATCTATTATTTCGATTAATAGTGATTGTTTAATTAAGCTATTTCAATATAGCTATATATATATAATGAAGGGAGCTGAAATCCTTATTAACAGTTATTTTGTGGCGTTTTACATCTATTTATAGTATCTATCGTAATTAATAAAAATGAATATACGTTTCATGCAAGCTATGTAAAAAGAAAAAGAATAGAGAAATGATTCAAAAGATCGACTAAGTTATGGGAGGAGACCGCAGTCGGGGAAAGGCAGAGTGGGAGAGGAGGAGGAGAGAGAAACGTGAAAGAAAATAGCCTGATTGTTAGTGATAACTATGTTGTATAGAATAACGATAACGTATTTTCAGTACAACTCCTATTATGATGCGCCTTACCCAAAAGCTAAAACTAATGAATGTCCAAATGATGACTAGTATTATACAGGATGCGATTTTTGTGTTAAAAAAACGTTAAGAAATTTTACGGTAAGCATTGTTGGGTACAGGCGATCCATAAGTAGCTAATGTGTGAAAAATTGTCAGCCACTGGTAGGTTCAAACCGGCAGCGTAGGATGGGGTTTCAAAGCAAACATTCGTGGCGGTAACCAGCTGAATTCATTCATTCGTTTTCATTTGTCAGGCACCGTTCTGGAGTCATGCAATTGGCAGAGTACGTTAAAATAGTCGCCTGTGTCTACTAGGGCATCTTCCGTCAGGCATTACTTTACACGACTGGCTGTTTGTGCAAAACGAAATGTGTCTACACTCCTTTCCAATCTAACTCACCACGCTCCCTTAAATTTAGTATGCAAGCATGCTAATAAATATGCGACTAGGGGGACACCTCGTTTCGGGTTGGAAGCCAGCCATTTGAAGTAATGCCTAGCGGCTCAAGTGACGGAACATGAAGAACGTTTGGGGCAACTGACATTTCCATGACAGCGCAGTGGATAACGAATTTGCCTGTTAAACTTAAACACACGTAATAGTCCATATATATCGAGTCCAGGCGTAGACACACTTCGCTTCGTGCTAGACGCCAGCCGCCTGAGGTAATATTTAATGGCTAACGTACCGGCGATACAACACGAAAAACATTTGAGGGCAACCTTAAAAAACAGGCAAAACCCTCTGAAATTGACAAAAGAGAGAAATGCGAGAATAGTTAGTTGTTTAACGGTGCATCTGTTCTTAGTCAGCATTAACGGTATTTCGTCTTCGCTAAACAACAACAAATTAAATGTTTCTTTCTCTTATAAAAAGTTTATTTGAACGGAAGCTATTAGGGATTTTATCCACTCAGTTTAAGTACATCGAATCGCGCTCCAATAACTTTAGAGGTGTTATTATAGTTAACTCCAAACCAAACCTTAAAGAAGCGACGTCCAAGGTGGATCGGGTGAAAATTCCACGGTACTACATAAATCTTAGCGTATATAAAGCATTAACTTATAACCTACTGAAAAAACATGGATAAGACGTTGGTAAAAATTATAATTTAGCGATCAATAGAAACCGTAGCAAATATGCGTAACAGTAAGGCTTTACAATTTCTGAAGCCTAAGGTCATTATAAATAATTACATATTGTAAATTTTAAAATAATCGGCTTCTTTCTGCGCGCACAAGACCATTCCAGGTTATCACATGATTCACCTCTCTTCTGCTGGTAGTCCATAGACGTTCACGCGACTTTTTTTGTAATTCAAATATTTTAAATATAAGCTGCATATAAACAAGACATGTATGTTAAGGAAGTGGACTTGTGGATTACGAATCCCTACTTCATTGCAACGGTGTTTGTAATAGTAAGTTTTTATGCTTCTTACTAATCTCATTATTGAGATTAATAGAATAGAAACAACTGCAATCGCAATCAAATATATTGAATGAAATATAATTGCTGATTTCGATGCAAATCGTTCACAGTAACGGAAGTTGTGATTCATATACTTTATGTGTGTTAAAGGGCTCTATATAATTAGGTTCAAACAAAAGCTAATATTTTCTACCGGTCGATTAGACACTAACTTTGTTCTCGAACACCAATCCTCGGCCTATACTTACTGATTTTTCTATGCCAGTAGTATATGATGTAAAATTGGATACTGCTGTATCCCTGCTCCTTGACTTTCCAATGAGCCTGGTGATAGGAATGGACCCATAATGTCTGGAAGAGCCTAACGTTTTTAATGTAACAAATTTTTCAATAAAAAAAATAAAATTGGTCCTTATATTAATTCCTCTGTACGATCGCCTTGAAAGTAAAACAAAAGAAGCCTCTTTTAATTATTTCCTTTTTATAAAGTATTCAGTGTTTCAACACATCTTTGGGAAACTGCATATATATGCAGCATTTGGTGTCTTAAATAGCTTGTAGCGGAGCTTTTTACATTAGACATTTTAATACAAAAATGTCACTATTGCTTGAACAACTGGAAAACTATGTTAGTAACTAGCGCTTAATTCTTTTAAAAAGTAATTAAAGATTGACAAGAAGATCGATATACAGATCTATTCGTTATTCCCCACACTTGTTCTTAAAGTAGCTCTAAGAAAAAAGTTACGTTAACATTCTTCGTCTCCATCCGACACCAACTTAAAAAATAATATGGTATTTGTTTCTGGTTGGGTGATAACAAACCGATGAAACCTGTTGAAATAAAAATATTAAACTGTTGTGTAGAACGCGTTAGATAAGTACATGTACAATGGAGTAATCATAGATAAAGCATGTCTAATATTCCCCGATTTTAATTTTATTTGAAATAGAACATACATTGCGGGAAGTAATACGGACGTTTTGGAGTGTCCGAATGGCTGCTTCATCCCAACTGATTTAAGTTCTTGAGAAAAATATTGTACAGCCCTGATTCATTGTACACCAGCTTTAATCACCCTATATTGAGAATCTTCATCTAGTGTGCTTTATGCTTCGTATACAATTTTCTTTGACAAAACCTGTTAAGGCGAATTGAATGAAAGAAAGAATGAAGTTTTCACACACATTTGAATCTAAATCTGTATTAAAACTATTTTTCAATTTCAAAGTTGTTTTTAGTTTCTCTCGGCCTTGAGGTTTATAACATTGAATTCTTAGATTTGCATAATTCGGTTGTTGGATTAGAATCTGACCTGGCAAAATGATACGACTGCAGATATGTCATCTATAAGAGCGAACATTGCACATGACGTCTACGTTAATGTACTATAGTCTTTTTTGGTTGTTGTACAAACTTATGGATACCTAATTCAGCTTTTCAAAGATAATATATTTTACATACCTTAAAATAATAGTTTAAGTTTAAAGAAATTAAGAAGGATTTTCAAGGTAAAATTAGAATTTGGCGGAAGATTTAATGAAGTTTTCATGAATGTTCACGGATGAGAATTAAATAGATATGTTTTAAGTGTTAATTTTACAAATTCACAACCTGACGCCTGATGATGAACATTGCGGTTCACTTTATCGTCGAGTCATTGCAATCGTCGTTGCTTCACTGTAAACGTTAATTATAGCCATTTGTGCATGCTAGTAAGCTCGAGTTAGTATATCATCATGTGACAATGAAAGCGGTAATAATAATTCGTATAACGGCTGGCATCGTAGGCCCTTGGCAGAGAGTTCTAGTGCGTAGATCTTGATAACTCTACCTGGTTTCTGTCGGACGTCCACTTTCACGTGGTGCTGCGTACAAACTATCATATATGCGAAGTCTTTGCGAAATCACCATCACATTACAGTATGCGAGGAGTACATACAGTGCGCATAGTGTGGCAAGTCGCACTATCACGGACCACATATTACGATGCTTTTGAACTGCGTCAAATAAATCTTGAATTTATAATTCCAGTGATCCTAAGGTTAGGTTATGGTCACTTCCGTCTTTTGAAATATACGTTTCTACATCGTCATACACACAGCCTTCCTTTTATTACAAGAACGATTAGTGCACAATTAGACATACACGGTGCAGCTACATTGAGTGTTTATTTAGCCTTGTAAGCACTAAATTTTTTTTGTGGTATAACAAGGGATATAACAAAACTATCAACCCAGGCAGAGCCTTTGTTAACTGTTTTATTCCCTCGACTACAAAAAAAAAAACTAATTCGTGCAATGCTTGCAAAATTAAAGCACGCTTTGTTTTCGTTCTTAACAATCCACCAGTTGGTGACACTGGCGCCGATACCAGTGGCACGCCAATCTAGCAATACTTTACGTAAACTAGTTAACATTGGCCGTCAATCATTCTTCTGGTCTTCCCGACCCAATCCTTTCTGCGACATAGACGCAAACGCTATTGCTGTCCACGTTACGTGGCGCAGTATACCTTATTCTCCCTTCTCCGTTTTAATCGCAAAGATGAAGTGCGTACGAGTTTATTATAAATGCTCCTTAAGGCTGCTGGGGTGTTGATATGAATTCTAGCCATTAGATTCCAGCACGGGGCTTCGTTTTTATTTGTAAGAAATGTCATCGAGTACTGGGAAGATTCACATCGAGATGCGTTCGGAAAATATTTTTGCTGTTTCTATTTCTCCATACATTTATCGCACATTTTATAGCATACACATAACAGGGCCTAGATTGGAAACCGGTCTGTGGTAATACAACCACGAACACATCCTTTGTCCAAGAAAGCCCGCAACCCGTTGGAGAAATAAAATGTGTAGTTACACAAGTTCTGGTCAACAAATTCTAGTTCTGGAACGCTCTGGCTTCGGAATAAAGCGGCGAGTCTGATCAAAACTCTAGACAGGTGCATATGTAACAGAGTTCTAAAAGCCTTATCACGTTATATACGGTAAACTCAAGCATCTGCAATGTTCCACCTAGTTTTGCATATCTAGTAATCTATGGGTGAACGTTAGGGGTTGCGGTTCTTCTCCACTATGCGGAATGTCGGCAAACTTTTCAACTGAAATAGAAAAAATTGGCCGTTGATTCACCAAGTAACAGTATACGCTTTTCTAATTCAATAATTCAAGCTTTGCTAATATGACAGTAAGCTTAGAATGCTTGGATATTGCACCTTAAAAAATGTTTGATGCCATAAATCATAACACCGCGTTTGTTCATAACACAACATTTTAAGATGTGCGGAAAAAGATGTTATTATTGCATGATTTATAAATAATAATTTGTAAATAAATTAAAATTTATCATTTATAAATTATGCAGATAGTAATTCAAAAGCCTCTACCTATTGATTGGACAACCTTTGAATGCAGAAAGAAATCTTAATTACAATTTCAGTTTGAACGTCTTTGTACATTTTTGTTTCCTTTTGATAACGTTTTCAATATGTGTGTTATTATTTCAGCTTTTGATATATTCCATCAGTGAATAGGCAATACGATGTCTGTGTGTAAAGTTAGTCATTGCTATTTCGAATGTAATTTTATGGTATATAATACAAAACAACAGTATGTAAATTACACAATCCACGTTTATAGAGAAATGCAACTGAATGCAAGTCAAATGATAATGCTTCTAGTCTACTAAGAAACGTAGTCGAATTAAACTTGCTTGGTATCTTATCATTGATATTCGTTGACCAAAGCAGAAGGTGAGCGTTTGCCATGTAAACTCATGTAGTCATTATTTGAGTCTACTGAAATGCCAGACCACCTTGTATAGTGTTCTTAGAAAATTACTTCCACATGTCTTTATTTTCGCTTTCGGCGTTCTTACTGTCCGCTCTTCCATCTGCTCCACTCTATGATAGCTGTTATGTCAACAACAGCCAATAGAGAGACGAGTATATCCATTTTGACAGAAAAACTCATGTCTGACGTAGAATGCTTACCGTTGATCATCCACCAGGTCAGCGCTCTAAACCCTGAAAAGCTTTTATAGAATAAGAACCGTCTAAAAGGAGCAATATTAGAAAGGATCCGTACATAAGCAGTGTTAAATAAGTGCGTTGTGCATTTTATGGCATCTAATGAGAGCTACGTTTGCTTCGGATCGCATTATACGATGGGGACTTTATTCAGATGGTTCCGTACACGTCAGATAAGGTCAGCTTGTGCATCCTAACAACAACACGGTTGTGAATCGGCGCCTATATTGATGATGTTGACGACAACGGCGATTATGGTGTCGATTCTTTTTCCTCTTTCGTACTAATCAGAAACACGGACTTCCCACCCATTGGCGTGGGAGACAATCTGACAATGGCGAAAAACAGATTGATGGCCACGGAAATACGCAGGATCTAAAAGGAAAGCACAACGAGTTTTTCATACAGAGAAAACATAGGTTCTGCATAGTATTGTATCATATAACCACTAAATCAAAAATTTCGATTCGCTTCTCATTTCTCTTACTTGTGGTTTATAGAACTTTGCTGAGTACTTCACCTGTTTGCTTTGTAATATAGGTTTACCCATTGAACATAATGCTTCAATAATCGATCTCATTTCCGGGGCATTTTACGGGGCTCGTTGAGTTAGTCATAATTTGTAATATTTACATACATATTTTGATCATAGGTCATTTTATTAAAGCTTGTAATCAACAAGCACAAAAATATATTGTGCTGTCAATCAATAGGAGCACTTAGGGCGGGAGTAGTCTTCACACACGTTAATAATATATAATATAATGTAATAATATATTATATAAATAATAATATAATGTACTAAATACTGAAGCGGTTTTGGTTTAGAAGCATTATCCAGTTTCTTAATAATACAAGCAAGAAAAATTATATTTTGAGTGGAAGACCGACAAGAAAGTTACATGTGTTTTGTATGCAAGCAAGTCTTCAGGGTAGTTTTGCATTGCGGACCTTATAAAGTTGCTTTGCGGAGTCACTTTCTGTAAAATAACGCCGACGGTATCAACTCATAGCTGTTTAAATAAGTAACAGTTTAATAGAATATGTAAGACAATCGTTGATATGAAGCTTTTTCTTGGACTAAAACGAATGGAATTGATTAATTGATTATTAATTGATTAATTGATAATCAATTGATCCGAATGACATATTCTTTCTATATATTATAAATGCTCAATTACTCTCAACGCCATAGTGGGTTTGTGGAATAATAGCGACGTAAGCGCAAGGCTGAAAAGCAAAATTGTCTAGAGCTACGTAAGCCTTTTTTACACACGCGAAATTTGACGCATGTTACCCGGCAGCAAGTGACATGCGTCCAAAGGGTATCCAAACAAAAATTGAATATTTCAACTGTAAATAACATAGGTTTTTGTTTAAAAAACGAAGTTTTGTGTGTGTGGGAATCATACATGGAAAAACATGTCTGATAAGTTGCTCGGCTTTGTTTAGATAATTGCGTGGTTGACAGCTTGTCAACATAAACGTCCAAATGCGTATTATTTATTCGACGCATAAATGACAGGGATATCATGCTTTGGTACCACTCACCATTGACAGGTTGCACATTGCCGGCAGCGTCTTCAAACGAAATTGGGCAGGCTATGTCTGTAGCACAATCCGTACAAAACAGAAACACGTTTGTAATATATTTTCTTCTCATGAAACATATACGAGTTTTCTTCACCCCATATGCGACAATTTTCATTTTGCTATGCATGATCAGTAAGTTAACTAGAATTTGTGTGCGTGAAAACATGAATTTTTAGTACCAATACGCTACAAGTACTTTTTGAAACCTTGCAGTCTTGAGCACGATATCATATAGATGTTCCCAGCCTTGCCGTACAGTTTGGCGTGTTATTTTTGTTGAAGGACTTGGACAAGCATTCGTCAATGACTCAGTATCAATAATGGACTCATCTTCTCAATTTTTCTATTTCTGTCTTAACGGCTGAACAGCTTGTCCAGTAAAAATTGATTTTTTTTTAAATCGTAACAGTCGAACTTTCACCAGGATTGAAATAATGTTTACCAATTTGAGTGCGTTATTGTACCCATTAGGAACCTTTTCAAAAGGATGGCGTACTGCAGAAGCGGGAAAGAACTCTCGAAAGACTACCAAACGAGCTTAACAGCTCATTTTCAGTCTCTCGAAGCAGGGAACTTTTCTTTCTAGAATCTACAAAAAGGCAGAATTGGTTCTGAATCCTGAGCCGGGTCTTCCACCCCACAGACCGATACGCCTGTACAGTACAATAACATAGGTTATGGAGTGCATCCTGGTGGGAAAATTACATGGAGCGATTGAGCAGAAGCAGGCGCTATGGAACTTCCAGTAAAATTTTAGAAATGGAGGATCTACGGATGGAGCTATAAGAAGAATACTTAATATGACACATGGGCAAGCAGTTAAGATTTGGACAACAAAAAGGCGTCGTCCCCTTATACTATTTAAGCTCAGGAACGTCTTCGGCGCAATGGATTGTAAAGGCGTTTCACTTCACGGCGAATACTATTCCTAAATCAGGAAGATAAATGGCTATGCGCAAAAGGGCAGCACTGGTTGGTTATTGCTGGGGTCCCACATAGCTCACCTCTTGGACCGATACTGTGGAATCTAGGCTATAATGATGTTACAGCTACTCGACCTGCCAGAGGGGGCTGAGACAATGACGTACTCTGACGATCTGGCGCTGATCGCCAGTGCGCGTAACGAGAACATTCTAAAGAACAGAGCAAATAAAGCCTTTATCCAAGTGGAGCAAGGGTTGATCAATCATTACCTGCTTGGTGCTCCGTGTAAAAACGAAATGTTTTTTTTTAACGCAGAAAGAATTGGAAAGGAAAGAACTTTTTAACTTGAAAGGTGTTTCTCTGCAGAGAAAAAAGCACGATTCTGGGAATCATTATGGATACACGACTTACCGAATTGGCATATATTAAACGCACGACAATAAAACCCCCGGGCAAACGCTAAACTTGCAACAGCTCTACCGAAAACTGAAGGGAAGTAGAATCTAATGCGCTAAAGGCCTAGCAGAGCTTTAGCGACACAGATACAACCTGCTATTTGCAGCAATTGCCAGTCTGGTGGCTTTTACAGAACGACGTCGATAAAAATAGTACTAGTAATCGCAAAGATGACACCATAGGATCTCCTAGGAGACGAAGGAACGGGATATATCTCATCATGGAACTCTCATCACTCAAATGGAACTAGGACTGAATCAGCCGAATTCTCAATCATGCAGCGCCCATACGAGCTTAGTAGACTAAAACCTTAATTCCAGACTTGGTGTGAAGCTATCGTATAGCCTCATCCAGGTTTTTCTAAGCAGGA